TGGACCATTCTGAGATCTGCCCGTGATCTCTCCTAGTCTACGCCCAATCTGTCCTGCTCCGGCTTCACCATGGTTCACCATGTTTCCCCTGTTTTCCTTTCTTTGGTTGGTATAGTGGGTGGTGGGTTTTTGTGTGGGGGAGTCGTTCTGGCATCTTGGACGGCATTGGAGTCGCCACTCGACCCTCCGAACAGCACTGGGTACAGCATGTTGACGATGGTCAATAAGCCAAGACCAAGTGGGATGAGGTACCACCTCAGGCTTTGAGCTCTAAGAGCCTCTGCTAGACATAGGCCACACCACAGGCCGCCCTTTGGTTGATGTGATGGAACCTATAAAGGGGCATGACATCGACATGGCAGGACTAATGAAAAGGTCAAGCTCCGATTCAGTGGTCTTCACATGTTCTCATGCACCCAAAGATCTAATCCAAGGGAACTCCCCCATGCTCTCCTCAACACGAATTCACTCGTATCTCGATCGCGAAAAACCCTTTGGCGGACACCCTCTACCCTTTCGCTAGCGCCCAGCAGCGCCAGCACCGCCCAGCTACCCCGACGGAGGCCAAGCGTCCCGGCCCGGGCCCTGGCTGCTTCGATGGCTTATCCTTCCCTGAGCGGGGGAGTTGACCGGTCTAGGCACGCTCCGTTGCGAAGCTTCTCGGACGGTCGATATGGAGACATGTCTGTATATTAAAAAAAGCCAGATCCACGGGTATTTCACGACCCCAACAAGTATTTCACGATAGGTTCACAGGTATGTCCTAAGAAGATTCCAGGACTTCTTCATCTTCTTCCAGCTGTATTTTCTTCGGTCGACTCGCTCTCAGCAGCCGCGGGGTTCCACGACTCGCTCCCTCGGTCGTCCAGCGTGGGACCGAACGACCCAGCGACCGAGCGACCGAGCGACCCGAGTGACACCGGGACCGATCGCTCGATCAATTAGGGAGAGAATCCAAGTGGAGTCCCGCACTACTCAGAGAGAACCATCTTGGCAGCTCTGCTCTCTTGACACCTGAACTTGCCTTGTTTCCTTAACTGAAACTGACAGGAGTTTCCTCAGGAATGCACTTAGCCTCGTTGTCCCGCCTGTGGCTCTTTCACTGTGCTGAGCCATTGCTTATAGACAGCATAAAATTAAAACCATCCGCTTCCACTTCGCCCGGACAAGCAAATGGCCTAAAACTTTTGTCTGGAAGCTGAACGAATGTGTATTCAAGAGAGGCTGTCTTGGACATCACTGTACACACCACCTGTTACGAAAGAGAAGAATGCTTTCATTAACAAGAACACATGAGACTCATGAAAGCACATTGGCCAAGTGAATCACGAGCCCCTCCGCTGCCCACTGAGGTTGTTGCCCAACACGGGGCTGTGGGTGAAGGAGTACTTCGGAGGGCTCTGGCCGACGGTGGGAGCGCGGTCGCACGAGCGCGGTGGGACCGCTGTTCATCGATTTTGTGTGCGGAAGATGCTCAAAGTGGTGGAGGCCCTTCAACCCCCCAAAACCATGAGACAGGTCTGACGAACTGAGAACTTTGATCATATCTAGATCGTTGTCTCTTAGCTCCTGAGTTTCTGGGGGGTGCATGACCTCATGACCTTGTGACTTTCGGGGTCATCTCAGAAGCCACATGGCTGGAAAGCGTCACGTGGCGGAGATGCATTGAAGTGAAAGGATACCTGAAAAGGGTACCGTGATGGTGATTGAAGCCACCTTGAAAAACAAGAAGTGATAACTTAAACTATCCTCAGGAAAGAATCCATTTGCTCATCCAATTTGCTCATTCGTTCTTCATGGGGGCGTCATGGCCCACCGCGCGGTCTAAGACGGAACCTCTGCTGCTTCATCCCCGCGACCGTCTTTCGGGAACAGGTTGAGAGACCTGAACTCGGACTCTCTAGTGATGACATATGGGATGGGCGATGGCATGAGGCCCTTCAACCTCTCTAAGACTCTTAGGCGCTCTTAGGGAACAGCACCGCGCCACCTCTCCGCTTGGGACGCCGGTTGGAACCCGGTCGATCGCCGGAGGGGTTTTTGGGTCGACCGAGGCGTTCGACCGTTTTGGGCTTCCGCTGTGTCACAGAGACCTTCGAACGTCGATCACCGCGGGTCTCTGCGATACAAGTACCAAGTATATACAAAGCTTAAGCAAGAATTCGTTGATTGGCACTCTGGTCGGTGCCAATCCATCTTTCTTTCGAGTGATTCAGAGTGCATCGATGGATTCCATGCTGATCCATCCCAACCCGTTTGGCGCATCCCGACCAGCAATGCCAAGGCGCTTTAAAGGGGGAGGTGGCATTCAAGTTCAACTGGCGGCACGAAAACGAAAGAACACAGAAACGAAGGGAATCACCCAACATCGTGTGTTTTGGAGTCGCCCCAAGTTGCCAAGTTGCGGTGCTGTTGCCAAAACAGCTGTGATGGGTGTCCCCAAATGCCGAGCCAACACATACACTTGCCTTGGAACCAAGTCCCAACCAGAAACAAATGGTTGTTCATGGTTGTTCCAACATGGCTTGAGATCCTTTACGAAATGGCTGGGACTGGGGAAACATCCATTTCTTTCTGGTTGGGACTGGAAAAATCCAGGTGGTTGCTGCTTTCCGAAGTGATTTCTCCCTCTCAGAGGCCGTGGCTTTTTGCCTGTTCTGGGTGAGCAAAACGATCTACGCAATCACCCCTGTCTCGAACCAGCTCTGATTCAGGCGAAATAGCAGAAAAAACCGATCACAGAGCCAACGATTCTTGTTTTGGGGAGTCATCTTCCATCGTGGCATTTCTTTGGTGGAGGAGAGAGTGTGTGTAAAAGACACCCCTAACAGAGCGCTCAAAGGGGTTCGAATCTGGTCTCAGTTGTGCAAGTACTGGCACAACTCCTTTCCGTCATTATAGTGGATTCAGAGTAGATGGCACAACCCCCAAGAGGTGGTTTATATAGGGGTCCATCTAAACCACCTTTTGGGGATTGTGCCATCTACTCTGAAACCACTGTAATTATCTTCTTCAAGGTGTCTCATCTAAAAGCCATTGTTTTTAACCGAAGCGAATCGAAGTGAATCGAAGTGCCCCTTTCTCCAGCCAATCACGTGTTCTCTTTCTCTGCTCAAATATATGTGCAACACAATATTATACATAATACAAAATTTGTCATATATTTGTCATATTTGCTAGACAAACTTAGGGAAAACTAACCTAGTTAGAACATTTTAGGATGCACACACAAAGTCGAACGTTTCTCCTCACGCTTTGCCTGGTCCGCCATTGGGTATCACCTCAGTCCCGGCTGGAGAACATCTTCACCATCCGAGGCGGTTTCTCGTGGCTTGGATTGGCAGGTCAGTGACCATAAGCTGTGAATGAACGTCCTCATCCCACTCGCCGGGCACCTTCTCGACACAATTCGACACGCCAAGTTGAGGGTGTTATGTTTTCTTTTTTGGAATCCAACATTTGACAATGACAAATCCTCATCATTCGAACTTGAAACATGTACAAAGGGGAACTGGTGCCACTACCCACAGTTAGATTAGTTAGCTGGAACTTTGTAGAATCTTGAGACCATTCAAGATTTCCTATAGAAATACAATCTGGGTAGAATGGTATAGAAAGAATCAGAAGACCCCCGGAAAGTCGCGGATTGGTGTTGACCGCGCAGACCCGGAACTGCTGTCCAGGAACAAGTAAAAACTCTTCCCCACGCATGCCAGGGATTCATATTACATGGATTTACCCCAAAAACGCGGGAAATTCGAACGTCACCTGATCCACAAAAACAGGGTTTGAGTTGTGGCCTCCTTAAAAGTATCCCCCAAAGAGGAATGCCGCTCTCTTTTTGTGATGAGCAAAAATTCACACCAAAACAAGCGGTGTTTGGTGTGGTCCTCCAAAACGGAATGATTCGGGGTCCTTCGTCAGACTCCAGATCCTTTGGTTGCCTTATTGAGGCCCTCTTCCTCTGACGGTCGCAGAACCAGTGGCTGCACACGAGGGCCACAGCGGCCGCGGCTCCCACTAATTTGATGAAACACTGCGGTAGATTGAAAGAGCGTCCTCAGCACCATAAAGCAGGACAAGGCTCGCAAGGGTCCAGATTTGCTCGCAAGGGTATGCAATGTATTCCTTTTAATGTGTCAATTCATCTGGATGTCACTTTAGCACTCAACCAGGATGTCCTAACACGGTCCATGTCTTTCTATCCAACATGTGTAAAGATGTACAAGACATTGGTGAAGGAAGGGCTCTCAGAGCGCTCGACGTCAGCGCTTGACGTACTTCACATAAAGAACGGGATCCCTCCTATCTCCTGAGTGCAAGCACTCCGCTCCTTTTCCACAAAACAAGGTCGAGCATCCGAGCATCTTGAATAACGAGGCCGTGGATCAACACTTGCGGCATCATTTCCAGCACCCAAGTGAAAACGAACACACAAAATGATATACAGCCTCAAAATCTGATGAAGAGGCTTTTGTCAAAAGAACCATCCACAAGTCATGATCCATGAAATTCACCCTGCTGCGTCGCCGAAGCCTTTCGTGCCCAACACAACTGTCATGGATCTCATGTTGCTCAGGTTCATGGAGAACGGAGTCTTGGAAATCGTTTTTTGCAAGGTGCACCGTGCACCGTCTTGCTATTATCGTATTCTTAGTCCTTTCCTCTTTTTGTCCTCCCTTTTGTCTTTTCTTTTTCGTTAGAACTTCAGGCCTCTTCCTTCTTCTTCTCCTTCTCTGGTTTGGCGTTGAATCCATGAACACACCCAGCATTTGGACTCTTTAAGTGCTGAAGATCTCTTGAAAAAGCGCCTCACACAGAGTGAGAAAAGGAGTCGCTTGAAAAAGAAAAGCACGGCTGCTGCCCTTGAAGTTTTTGACACTTCTGTCAGTTGCAGGTTTCTTAAATTCTTATGCTTCTTGTGAATATCATGATTCGATGGCGAACTCGCCTACCATCTCTGCTTGAGCATGTGAACAGTTGTTGCGTGTTCACACGTGGTCAAAGCAGCTTTGTCAGCCAACTGCAAACAGAAGCCAAACCCCAAGAAACTCAGTCATTCTGTTTGGGGTTCACAGCTCTTTTGGTTCCGTTTTGCTGTGACCCAGAAATGCACCGATCTCCATTGCCACAGCTTCACAGCGTCACAGCAACTCTCGGTGCTTGGTTCGCAGCGCGTTCGCAGCGGCCCGCTCTCGACTCACGCCCCACGCAGCACTGAGTGCTGGATGGCACGGCCCACCTGGTCGAGTCGTGAGTGGTGATGGAAGAGACGGCCGTTGACGACGGCCGTTGAAGGAAACCTACTTGCAATGGCCTCCAACCTAAGAGCAATGGCCTCTAACCTAAGAGCAATGGCCTCCAACTAAGAGTGATGGCCTCCACCCTAGTAGCGATGGCCTCCAACCTACTAGCTTCTTGCTACTAGTTGACTTGTTCACTCCTCACGAATCAGTGACACATCAGTGACACGGAGTGACGGGAGCTGCATCAGCTTCCGTGTCGAAAGAATCCATGGCATATGCTTGCGGGACATGTATATGGGGGGAAGGGAATTGTAGGGATGAACAGTGCACTTGTGGAGATGGTCCACTGAGTAACGCCTATACTACCGAGTCTATCCTCCTGGTAGGCCAGGGTCTCCAAACAAAGCAAACAAATACTTTGATGATCTTTGATGATGTTCCAGCCTATGTGTTCATTGTCTGAAAACACCATTTCACTTCAGCGGTGATTCTCCCACTAAGGTCGAGCAAAGCTCGATGGACAAACCTGACAGCTCGGGGGTCAATCTACTGCAAGGCCAGGGTCCAATTTGTGGATCTCCATCATGGAAACATACACATTCAAGCATAAGACATCATGAAACAAACCCACTGGGCAAGGGAATCCAGCACACCCCATTCGTCCATTTTTCGCATGTCCACACAAGGACATATCCCCCAAGCTCCAGTCGTCCGGCAACCTCCGAGTCCGACAAGTCCCCTGAGGTTGGAGAGTTTCAAGGTTCAGTTTTTTTTCCACCGGTTGGTCTTTAGTGGGGAAAACTTGAAACTCATCCATCCCCCCTAAAAAGTAATTTTTCAGCTGCGTTGGGCGTTTTCACGACCTGGCCACTAGTCAGTTGATGCCGATGCTCCACCCAACACTCCTGGTGACCCGAGCCGCGTGCGGCCGCCGCCGCCTTCTTCTCGGCCACCTGCATGGCCCGATCGAAGGCCTTGGCGAAGGGCCGATGCGCGGGTCGCGCGGTTCGCTCCAGCGGTTGGAGTTGGGGAAACGAACATCCACCGCGATCAGCAACGCCCGGCGCTTCTGCTCTTCACTCTAGGCGCCCCGGCCCAATAGGCTTCGTTGGCCGCACGCCGTGCCGCCAGCACCGTGGGTGGAATGCGAAACCTGGGACGCAGGCTGTGTCGAAATAACGACGAGTGCTACTTCTACTACGACTGCTGTCCACATTTTGGTGCCAAAGACCAAGGATGCAGTGTGAGGAAGGGGACAGGGTTGGGGTAAATGAGAGAAACAGAGTAAGGAAACAAAGGAAGCACTTTCCATTGAACTTTCCGGTCTCCTTTTTTAAAGCAGGGCGAATAGAAGACGGGACCAAAGCAAAGCCAATGACTGGTCAAAACAGCTTGGCTATATATACTTTGGTTTTCGCCAGTGCCACATATAAAAGGCAGCTTCGCACTTAACCAGTGGCACAGACTGGCACCAAAACGCCAAGACATTCGCCAGAAAAAGGTGCCATGCATCGGGACGACATGCATCGGACCGACACATCAAACACGACGTAAGCGAGCGTGCGTACGCCACAACGAGCTTCCTACGTACGTGGCTGCAACCTGCGGCACATGCTGTAGCATTGCGACGAGCGACCTCCGTCCCAACTTCAACTTCCGCGTTGCGCGGAAATAGGGGCTCGACGAAGCTGAACTTTTGAGTGAACCCCCTTGTCTTTGGACATATATGAATTCAACATGTTCAATGGTGGGGCGTGGTTCGTTAGATTCAATCATCATCATGAACGAGACCCACATGCTTGCCTCTAAGGGAACGGAGACAGTATATATATATATATGACTAATATATATATATATATATGACTGCATGACTTCAGTACGGGTAGCCTAACACCATTGGTTGATCGTCCATGAGACGGTGCTTTGGGAATGGACACGTGTAGATGACACCTCTCAAACCAGGAGGTGGAGCTTGGAGATGAAATGCTGAGGCGAACTGGCACGTCTCAGGCTCCACTTCAGCCTCATTGGGTTGGGTTCAAGAAATCGAAGCAACAAAGGAGGATTGGCAAGAAGGAAAGCAGCTTCATCTTGGGACCAAGATGGAGCCAAACAAAGGCACAAAATGGCCATAGGCAAGAAGCCAGCCGCAAGCATGTGGTCATCCTCAAGATTCCTCACCTATAGAAAAGCACGTATAGAAAAATAGTCCTGCAATTCAATGAAACAATGCACAAAAGAATCACGAAGATGACCTGTTCCGTGTCGGATCTGCTTGAGCTGGGACCTTCACCTTCGAAACATGTAATCTTGAAGTCCGTCTGCCTGAGCTGGAGCCCCGGCAAAGCACCCCGCAAATACGAACTCTCGTCTAACCCCTCAGGGCCTCAAAGCCTTGCCCAAGGCTGCCAGGGACCCCCTCAAAGAACCCCGGTCTTCCCACCCCGGCTGTCCCTACACCTCCGGTCGAACCTCCTCAGAAGGTATGCACCCACTCCAGTCCCACCTTGTCAAAAAACTCCATTCTTCCCACCCAGGCTGTCTACACCGGTCGTCTGGAGGCCTAGGCCTGGTCTGCACCGATTCCTCGGAACCGATGGATTCCCCGGGACTCCGCACTCGCCACACTCTCGGAAGAAGTCCTTAGGACGACGGTCGGAGCGGAGCGGAGCGGAGCGGCGAGCTGCGAGCTGCGGTTGGAAAGGACGGCAAGCCGTCCAAAGGAAGGGAATGTGATGTGACACGTCCTGGTTGGACGAGTTTGAGGGAATGTGTCATGTTCAAAATGAGCATTCATGTATCATTCGAATGTGATGTTAATGATCGTGTTGTATATATTTAATATATTTTATTCAAGATTCTGTGCACATCTTCGATGTTTCGTCCAGGGGACAAACACCAAGAGTCCTTTTGGAACACCCAGGACGGCCGTCCCATGCTGATCCATGCTGAACCCCGGACGCACTGAGCATATTGAGCACATTGGGTTCCCCAGCTGCTCCATGCACAGAGATCCGATCATTACGGCTCCGGTTCTGGCCAACTGGATCCTTTTCCGACCTCCACCGAGCTCCACCCCGTGTCGCGCGACCCGGCCAAGGTCGAAAACAAGGCTGGGAGCCCCGGGCTCCCCAATCTTCGGCCTCACGTGCTTGTTCCAGGTCCTCTTCTTCCTTCATCTCTTCTTCCACCTTCGCCGCAAGCTGGCGAGCTTGATGACGAGCTGTGTGATCCCCCCTCTTCACCTCCTCAGGGAACCCTTCGCCAGACTGAAGCCCAGCTTGCTTACGTGAAGGAGCCATACGTGGTTACATGTCAGATCATGCCATATGTGGTGTGTTGAACACGACAGCCAACGGCCCAGAGAACGTGACCGGCAGGAGCGCGCGACCGCGTGAGGGTTGGGCGTGAGGGAGTGGTCTTCTTCTGTGAGTTGAAAGGTTGGTGCTGCAAGATGACCGCCGAACTTGGGAGTGATGGGTAATGGTAATGCGTAGACTCTTCATTATGTTACAATAATATCCACCCCCAATATATGCAAAGATACTTTTTTTATCCAGATGGGAAGGTCTTATTCATCAAGATTCTACATTGCAGTGTTTGGATGGCTGGATGCTGCATCAGCTTCAGGATTGTTGTCAATTTGCATTGATGCTGCAAGCCTGACCCTACGTTTAAGAATAGTACATACCACAGAATGCCCAAACAATTGGAGAAGCAAATGCACCCTCACTCTGGCAGTTTGATACACTGGATCCTCATTTTATGCTGAGAAATGAAATGAGCGATACTCAATAATTGAGTGCCACAGCATTAGCAAAACAACGACAACTTTGAAGCTTTGTCTTTCAGTTACACTTTTATTATATAGTCTTTTTGCATCTTGGCCAGTTAGGCTATCCACAAAAATTCTAAAAACCGAGAAGCTCCAAGGCAGAAACCACAGACTTGCTTGGAGTTTGAGTCCGCTGGACTGCTGCACCTCGAATGCTCAAGGACTCTGACAGATTCTAGACCGTCGATCCCCCCAAAGGCCACCTCACCATCAACTCGCAACGAATGTCGCAACGAATTTCAGGCTCTTTCCTTGAAAGACCACTAGAAAAACACGAAAAACCTCATGAATTCTCTGGTTTCTGTATCGTTTTTTGTGACCCCGCCCAACGCACCTCCACGACTTCTCGGTAGCTCGGGTCCCCCCTCTGCACGCTCCCCCACCGCCTCAACCTGCTTCGGCGCCTCTAAGGCCGCCTCCTGCGGCGTCGCCGCCTCCGGCGCGGCCGCGGAAGCGTCGTGGCCTGGCGCCAGCGCTTTAGCGGGGCGAAAGCAGCCCGAGCCGGGCCCCCGGGGCGGTGGCGTCCGGTGTTAAACGGTTAACAAAAACGGAAGAAAAAAACACTCTGAAAGCTCTGTATAGTGAATGTTGTTATTATTTTTCTTTGTGGGTTCTATTGTTTTTCTTTTTCTTTTTCTAAATAAGTTCTGAGATGTGGTCAAACTTCATTCATTCTCCTACGAAGCCATGCACGTTTGTCAAATTGATCAAATAAACTTATCAGAAAGAAACCACAAAGCCACAGAATAGAAAAAGTTCGACTTGTAGAACATTGCGTCTCAACTTTTGGTTTCTGAACCTTCAACATTTTAACACCATCAAATCCCAACGGCCACAAACGCGAGCGACACAAAGCCTGGGGGCATCTGGGGAGGCGGCGGCTGAGGACGTCCATAGATTTGACCCATGGCTTGTGCCAATTGGCCCACATCCTGGCAAGGTTGTGCAGGCGTGCGGTGTAAGGTGATGCTGCTATGTGCTGCTTGTTGATGTGCTTCTGTTCTCTTCGTTTTGGGGTTTGCCTCTCTTCTGCCTCTTGCTCTTATTGCTTTCCAATGAAAAGGTACTTCATGATTAATGACTCATGCAGACCCAGACCACTTCGGAGCTTGTATCTTCGGTGGGGTCGATCGCGTCCGTGGATCACCGATTGCGGCCGGCGCATCCGTGGATCGCCCGTGTTCGTCAACGTGGCTGGGGGTCACCTCGACGTGGTCGTTGGCGTCGACGTAGCCATTGGGAAGACCATATAATAACTAAACCATCGGGGTGATGGACATACATCAAGTCCCCATGGAAAATGGGTAAACAGGATTGGAATATATTAGAATCGGGTTTGGCTCGAGATGGTTCCGACATGCCCCAGCCTTAGGATGCCTTAGGAGCTTCATAGCGCGACTTTTCAGGGCAGGGCAGCAGGCCCTCTTTCACACAATTGCCGTCTAGAATATATTAATATGATGAATATGGTCGTGCAAGTGATCATGCGTTTGCCCTCTTGTACTTTACAAATGGATTCAGGTGTAACCTTCTATATATATGTCAATTTGCAAACCACAATCGCCTTGTCAGCAGCTTGTCCAAAAGAACTCTCAATGTCCACACCTGAAATGCTGCTCGAGTGTTGCGCCCAGTTGGCACCTGCGCAAACCAGTCACCGGCGAGTGGGCATGTCATGAAAACATTTGGTTGACGTATGTTGATCAAGTACAAGAAGGCAGGTGCGAAAGTTTCACAGGGGTTTGCAGTCCTTTGTGGCGGACTATAGAACATACAAGCAGCTTACTCTGTCTATAGTTCCGGCCGTTTGTTATAAAACGTTCGATCTTTGTGATACGAATTAGTTCTATAAGCCTGCAATCATCTGCTCAGTACTTCTATCGATGTCCGCGACCAGTACTCGGTCCGGCGACTGCGAAGAAAGGCGCACACGGAGGAGGGTGGACTCGCCCAAGGGCGTGGCCATTGGGGTCTGCTGAGGGTGGATGACAGAGAGAAGCTACAACATGATATTGGTCATGCTTGAGGGTTCCAAAGAAATGCAACAGAACAATAGATCAAAAGAATGTGTGATGCACTGCATCCGTCAACTTTGGCTCTTTTTTGCATTGGAACGGACGGTGACCACATCCTCGACATGACAAGTGTGTCCCCTTGAGAAAGAAGAGCATACCAATACCATATTATCCATGCCAATTAGCATATGGGTGCAGCTTCAAGCCGCTCTTGTTCTGTTCCCTGTTTCTTTTCGGCCACCTCGCCACATCGGTTCGCCGGTCAAACCTCCCAGAGAACCGGTGAAAGTGCCACTCCCTGCCACCGTGACCATGCCGCGGCCTGGCCCAAGAAAGCGCTTTGCCCCTCGGCGCGAGTGTGTTTGACGGCGTACGTCTGCGATCTGCGAGTCGGAAGGGATTTCTACCTAGTAGTGTTTGCCAGGGCCCCCACAAACCATAAAAAAAACTGGTTTTCTCTAGCAAAAACCATGGTAGTTGTATGCGAAAACCTCTATGTTTCATGGTTTTGAGGGTTTGTGGTGGGGTCTACTGGTGTGGGATAGGATTAACACTCACTCCAAGTGAGTAGTCGTGAGTCGCTAGGGATCAGGAGGGTCGCTTTTTCAACCTCCGTGGTTTTCGTGAGTCGTGAGTGGTTTTCGTCAGCCATTCGCTTCGATGTGAGACTTCGCTTCGATGTGGCTGATAGAAAAAAGAAGCGACCTTTTTCCCAAAAGGATTCAATGCACTGAAACGGGCGATCTGTTTCTTTGGCGGTTCATGGTTGGTTGGGACAGTGGAAGACAGTGGCAGTGTCTTCTCAGATCGCTGGAAAACTAGGACAAGATCTCACTCTGCATACTCTAGAGCCTTAAATCTAAGGCTGAGTACTCAACATATCTCACTTCCAAAAAATATATTTACTGTTTTAACTTGGATGGTTGGCTCAAAGGACGTATACACATGGAATCTTACCTTTCTGCCTTTATGCAAACAAACCCTGTGTGGGGAACCTTGGGCCATGATTGGCCCACATTGGAGACTTGATTGGTCCAAACCACCCTATTCTAGGCAAACATGTCATACACATGAAGTGTCTGGGTTTGTTTTGTTGCCAAGCTGCATAGTGGCCACCATGCATCTCCTGCGAGAGGCCGTCTGTTTGTTTTGGACACCAGCAGCACAGGCAGCACAGAAACCACCGGAAAAACAAGGTGCTCCAGTGAGCTTCAGAACATTCAGCGGCATCTTGTGGCCTGACCACCTCAGCTTCCCTGGACAATTAGGCTATAATTAACAACCTCTTTTTCAACCTTTACTTGTTTATAGTAAAGTTATGTAAAGTTCTGGTGACCTGCAGGTGATTGACCTTTCCTTGGTAGGTTGCGTTTTGGGAGTGGAACGCGCCGAGTGGTGGAGAAAGGACCGAAGGTTCAACCAGTCCGAGTCCGTTTCCGAAAAATTGGACTGGCGAGGTTTTGTGCGTTATACGTTGGGTCTATCCTATTTCATTGCCAGTAACCGTGGATGATGATCGTTAGTATAAAGGAATTGAAATAGCGATATGCCTGTTTACTGACTGATACAGGTAATGGGACAAACCCAAATTATACAGATGTGCATTTCCGGAGCAATGACTTCAAAGGCAAATGAGTTCACTCCACCTATCTCTACCTCCTCACCTAGCTTCCGAAGAAGAGACCCACCGGGCACCGGTCTTGGCATGGACCAAACTGGAAGACAATTTTTTCTCTACAAACCGGGCACGGAAGACTCAGGTTCCATCAACTTCGATGTGTGTCTCGGTCCAGGGCCTCTCCCAGAAGCTGCCACCCACCACCCATGCCACGCCTGCTGCACCAAGCCCTGCTGTGCCATGCTCTGCGCCGCTAGGCCCTGCGCGGCCAAGTCCTGTTGGGCTGTGTTCTGCTGGGCCGTCTCCTGGCGTTCGAGTGTCTGGACCGGAAGAAACACGTGGAGCGCCAGCTGCGAAGAGCACAGAGCCAGTCAGTCACCAGCTGCTGCGGCACGGTGGTGGGGAATGTTTGTGGCTCTCAATGTCGTAGCATGTCCCATCAGTTGGATGAAAAGCAGTTAGAAGCAGGACTAAGCAGGAAGTTGGATGTATGGCTATCATGCCCTCACTTTTTGGAGCCAAAACAGACCTCCAGAGCCTCACGGTTTGAAACAGATTGCACTGACCGGCCAGTCGAAGACCTTTCAAAAGGGTCCATACTCCCAGTCTCCAACATGATGAGAATGGCATCCATGGAAGACCCTTTTCCTCCACCACCAGCGGTTTTCAATGGTTTTCAGGTTCTGTAAATCCTCTTCCATCCGGCAAACGGCCGGCTCCTGCTGCGCCAGCTCGTTGACATCCTCCTGCGCCTCACCAATGGCTTGGAAGCGTCGCTGCCCCTGGCCGTCCCGTGAGGCGGTGGTCTCTGGAGGCCACGATGAACGATGAGACTGTCCATGTGGAACGGTGGTGGTCTGGAGAAGAGGTGTCACATATGGTACTACAATCAAATTCAATTCTTCTCATTTTTTTTTCATCTCATTCAATTCAATCAAATTCAATTCTTCTCGTTTTCATCTCATGTTTTTTTGGATCAAGACCATGCAAAGTCCACTGTCTCTATGTGAACAACGGTCTCTACATGTCCAATTTCCTTAGATGCCTTAACTTACTTGATCCTTGAGTTACGGTGGTCTACCCTGCCTTCCATGGGCTATCTCCCCCCCGGTGCATGTTACATGTGCAAACCTCATTTGCCCATCCAGGAGTAATTTGAACCACTCAACTTCCTTCATCTTCCTTCAAAAACCAGCCCAAACCTCACACCTCCCGCTACCTGCGGTTTCTATCTGGGCTACCTACGGTTTTTTCCATCAGCTTTTGGGGCACTCCGGCTATGCCGGTCTCAGTCTCAGCCGTTGGTCGTCACTTGTTCCCACCAGTCGCCTCAGTCATCTCGGCTTGCTCCTCGGTGGCTGCCTCGGCCTCCTTTTCCTGTGGAGAATCGATTGGAGTGGAGCCGACTCGACAAGCGCAGGGAACCAGGCGTACCAGGGAACTTCAGTGAGCTGCATGACATTATATGTTTGTATCTACCTTGGTCTGAGGGCTGTATGACATCTAGCTTGTCTTTCTCAGTTTTCACACTGGTGTACCATTTCCCTCGCTAAAAAGAACCAGCCGCGCGTCGCAAAACACCCTGAGGACAGCTAGTCCGTGGTAGTCCGTCGATTGGAGGCCTCTTCGGCCCCAAAAACGCCCAAACTGACGAACCGCCACCACCATACCACCCCCCCGTCTCCCCCCAGGCAGCGACCGCCACCGACTCGCCGTGGTTCGTCGGCCTCTTCCAGGCGCTGCTGCAGCGACTTCAGCGCCCCTTCCGCCGCCGAGTGGGCGAAGTCCTCGACGGAGCACGGGCGTGTCGCGCGAGGAGTGATGGCGAGACGGCGATAGCGGGAGGGGGCGGGAGGGGAGGTGGGTGAGAGGTTTACATGGGAGGTCAATGAGATCGGTGGCAAAGATTTTTCTATCTTGTGGGGGAGGCGACATGGGGAGGAGGTTCTTGGAAGATGAGAATTGTTGTCAACCGTGTTCTATTTTGGAGGGACAATTCCCGGGAGTTGAAAAAGACCACGGGTTCGCTTTGGATTTCGTTTTGGTTTTTGTTTCGTGTGGTCACTCCTCTTGGGCTGGTAAACTAATTTTTCAGTCTACCTGTGTCTCATGGGCATATGCAAGTGGGAAGCAGGGTTGGTCAATCAGAGTCTATTGCAAGATCAAGCACCCAGTGATGTCTTATAGATGCAGGCGACCCCACCTTGACAATCTCCCTGCACAACCTTTGCGGAGTGCATTCACCCCCCTCTTTTTGCGATGGTCATGATCTACTAACTCGAGCAGTAGAATCCCAGGTCCTACTCGCTGCACGTCTTGACACAAATACAAGGCCGTGAGGCCCGTATTGACCATAAATCATGTGTTTCAGAAACATCCTTGCACCGAAATGATTTTTTTTCCAGAATCGATGTACCCGTCGATGTACCTGGGGGTCACCACGTTCGCACCACCTTTCTTTCACCCATGAAGTTGCCTAAATATGCCTAAATCACATCCTCAGATTCCAGGATTTGTCCTTCGCGCGATTGTGGCAATACTCCATCTTCACAGCCAGCTCGGGAAGCACCTGAGCAGATCATTGCTACGCGGTGCTACGCGATTGGCAGGAGCGGCCAAAGCGATGGAGACTTTCCTTCCGTCCCTTGAAAAAGGCATTGGCCCAAACGTGAATCGCTTCAATACCAAGAAGTTGAGCTATGTTGAGCTCAGCTCAGAGTGCCTTAGGTTGAAGCAACCAAGCAAGCCTAGGTTCGAGCTGTGCTGTGCATTGAAGGGTTCAACCCCAGATGCTTGTCGAAGTGCCCGATGCTTTGTACAGGAGCTGGCTGCTTCGGGCGTTGTTGGAACGGCTTGCCAATGGTTGCTATTGTCTACCCTGTTTAAGGGTGTGACTCTAGTTGATCTAGTTTGTGAATTTTGTGGGGAATCCTGACTGACCCAAAAGTCTGATCAGGGTTCTGCAACAAAGCGCCAAGGACAAGAACAAGATCCCATGTTCCGTAGATCTTCTGGAGTGCAAAGCAAACCCATTCTACAAGCCATATGACCAACGGCAACACATTCTTCAACTCCTTGGCACAGGGCCAGCAACCCTTCGATCGAGCTCGTCGGAATGGTTCTTTCGGAACAACACCGGACGGACAGAGGTTCAGAGGAAAAGAAACACCAAAAAGACATCGCCAATTGTGCGGGTGACCAATTCACAACTATGTTCCTTTTTGGGCCCGTCAAGAGTACGACGTGCCATGACACAACGGGCAACATCTGTCCGTTGCAGATGTCGGGTGTTTCGCTTCTGTTTGCTTCCGGTGTCGGACACCGACACAGACCAAGCGGGACGATCGACGTCCGTCGTCGGTCGCAGCTGAGACGCATCTGCCAGCTGTTGTCTCCGTCGCACCCATCCCTCGAAGAGCCGCCCCGCATGCTCCACCGCCGAAGCTGCTTCGCCTCGGTTTGTGACGTGTGCTGCTGCTTCGCTTCGGTCTAGAAGGATGCTTTTTGAAGAAAGGACTCTTGGCCGGTGGCACCCTTCTTATCCCAAGTAGTGAAGCTTTTGTAATATCTTATAAAATATGCTGTAACAATCATACTTTTTGGACTTTGGTTTTTGTCTCATGGGTTGCAGTAGTGAGTCAGGGACATGTTCCAATGCTTGGAAGCTTCTAGATCTCGCATGTATATTGTGCTAAGGTTCCCAGGGTCCAAGGCCCAGAACATGCAGCCTAAACCTTCTCTTTGTGGTGCTTCTCAGGAACAAAACATCCGGCAATAAACGCATATCACTACGCATATCTTCTAGTGATTCTAGTATCGCTGGTCATACTCAGCAACCCAAATTGGGACACAATGCAGGAAACCAGGCTGTAATCCTGCGGTGATCAGGACAAAGTATCAACCAACCATGGTGAATCAATGCAACCAACAATTAGCTGCTCGTACTTATGATGACAAATGTGGATCCTGAACATAAACAACCAATTGCAACACATGAAACCCTGCCTTGAATGAGAACATATACAGAACCCCCCCTCATTGGAACTATCTGGAATACAGAGGTTCTTCTTTTATCTTGTTCTTACCGCACTGCCCGCTTACCGCGGCGCTGGACCAAGCCCGTTCTGGCCAGGTGGCGCAGGGAGGGCGCCACCCGGTTCTCGGGCCGAATCCGCCGCTGGAGCATCCTGGGACGTCAGACGAGGAGTCGCGACGCTCGGTCGAGCCCGGTCGGGCCGTTGTTGCGGTGGGTTGTTCGTGGATTGTTGCAGTGGCTGGTGGGAAAACCTTCATGATCAGTCAATTCATTATATAATACCTTTCTTACCGTGGGATTTATTGGATGCACATGGATACACCGTTTACAGCTGAATTGGAATCGTTCGAACAGTTACTTTTCAACTCTTTCCTGAAAGATGGATGAACCTGGTTTAGCATTATAGGGTCATGATTTTCCCGAACTGGGCCAATCCCCTGCTGTTAGTCCTGCTGTTGCTTTCGTATTTCTTGGTCTTTCTCGTACCGTTGTTCCCCACCAGTAGGTTCACATCTTCGCTTGAGAAATTTGTATGCTCGGCGCTTGAGGATCCAAATAAGGAGAACTGAATGTATGGTCAGCGTATGGTGTGGACATCGTGGACAGTGAACAGCCAAGCCAGAAATCAGCGACGGGTCACCCAAGCCTGGTTTTGCCTATGATGTTTCAGGTCGGGGCACTGGAGATCTGGTGAGGGACCACTACACGTACAGTACATTCAGAATCCTTCAAAAGAGGCGTCCAAAGCTTTGGCAAGTGGCACCAGTGTGGCAGCAGCATCTGCTCCATCTCGCTTCTCAGCATCAAAAGAAACCAAGTGCATTGCGCATGTGTTCCTCCCAAAGACCGATTTGTCTGGTTTGCCATCATCAGTTTTCCCCCCGCTCATGTTCGCCGAAAACATCCCCGCTTCTGCCATGGTGCACCAGCGAGGCATGCTGCTTATCTTCAGGTAGTGCAGTCTTCAGTGGATCCCAGGCAGGACATTCACAACCTCAGTGTCGACTTAATGCAACTTTCATGCAGTGTCGTTTGTTTAAACATGTTTAAACCCTAAGCACCTTTGGTGTCAAAACATGGAAGACTTGTGGACCTCGAACTCAGCCGAACTGCATTAGTTCCCACCTATCTTGTACAGTGGTGCAGTCATTTCCTCAGCGGAAGACTTGCCCACCTGGACCAAGAACTGAGAAGCACTGCGCTAGTTCCCACCCATCTTATAGTGGTGCACGGTGCAGTGATTCCTCCTTAAGATCCGGGTGGATTGTTGAGGACGACTTGCCCAAAAAGTGTGGATTTCCTCCTCAGCAACACCTGGAGTGAGGATCAGGCTCCTGAGGATCGGATCTTAATGATCGCACACAAGCTCAGTGGGGTCTCCCGCTGCAGTGAACTCAAAGGTCTGGATGGATGATTGTGTGCTTTTCTTGATAGGAGTTACCTACAGAAAGAACTTGTGGCCTGATACTCCTTCCTTCTAGAAAGAACCATTCTTTTGAATCTGTCCATTCTGGGGCCCTCAATCTCGTGGCGCTCCTGTTAATCGCAGCAAACTCCCAAGCAGCCGTGCCAAACTGGGGCAAACCTTCAACACCATCTTGCATCGACCAGTCACTTGTAAGAGCAGTTCTTGTGGATCCTCCGCAGGCTGCATAGACTCTTTTAGTGCTGAGGCAGTGGAACAGCTGGAAGACCGCGAAACTTTTGTCTTCTGAGAGCTCCTTCCTGAAGCAAAGCCTCAACATTGACTTTCCGCCACTCTTCACCGACGCGCACTTCGTCACCATCCACTCTTGCCAATCTAAACTCAAGTCCCTCAGTGTGTTTGCTGCGCCCAGCAATGCACTTTGAAATGTTGCCAGGATTAACTCGTAGCGTTTGGGCAGCACTGGTAATCGACCGGTGCCAGCTCCATTCCCCATTGCTACAACAAGGTCTGCTCTCAATTGCTTTTGCATCCCCCCTGCGGAGGGCACTTGAATTGGACAAGCGGTGCGCGTTGTTTTCAGATGGAGTGACGTACTCAAGGTTTTCCACTGCATTGTTTCCTTTGTCAAGGTCTTTGTGGTTTATGAAGCAGCGCTCCGGGGCTGGAGGAGGCCCAAGAAACGTGTATGCCACAAGACGGTGGACGAGTTCCTTTCGCAGGCGCGAGCAACAGGTGATACCCGTTGTAAAGTAACCTGACTTCAGCAAGCATCCCCAGGACCTATTTCCATTCTGTGATTGTATCCGACCAAGTGAGCTCACCATCCTCCCAGGTAGTTCATGACCTGACATGGGATCATACATCTGCCGCCAAACCTCCCAGTCCACCGTGGAATTTTCTGCTGAATCAACCAAATGAAACTCATAACCCTTAACAAGCTTGCCTTGGCGGCAGCCGCGAGAAATTGAGCTTCTGCCCATGCCAAGCTGTTCGGCAGCCTCCTTCATAGAAGCTGCAGTGCTCCAGCTTTGGGACCCAAAGGCTCTCCACATCACTGGTATGGAATGATGGACTCCACCGCATCGCCTTGACAAACTGGCGTAGGAATGAAGCACATTCTGCCTCGGAGTTGCATATTCCAGGTTGTCCAAGCGGTTATTGGATGGGTTGCCATCTTTGTGATGCACTTGCCAGGCAGCCGGATCTGACGCATGCCCTAGGAAAGTGAAGGCTACAACGCGATGGACAAAAAGGTGTTTGCCAGAAATCTGGACAGCTCGATAGCCTGTGGGAAGGAATGTTCCATGTGAGATCACCCCTGAGGTGTTGCGAACCCGGCCATATGAACTGACATGCCAACACCTCTCACCACCCTGGCTTTGGAATGGCAAACTGGACAGGCGTCGAACATGTATCAATGTGCGATGAGATGCCCGCCATGCATGGCCTGAGGCAACAGCCATGCCGAGACTCAGCAACGTCAACCCAGCCCAAGCCAAACGGCAGTACATGCGGATCTGAGGGGCCACGGGGGCACGGGGGACAAATCACTATTGAACATGGCATCAGCATGTAACAATCTCATATGATATAAGTTATGTTCACTATATATTCACTGTAACACTGTAACATGACATACTTCATTAAAAAGCTGGTGAGACAGTCAGATTATCAAGAATTTCAACCAACCCCACATTACCTTATTATCTTACAGTACATGCTTTGTTACACTTATATGTCAGGTGACCAAAGCCTAAATTAAACAAGTTGAACAAAACCACTGGCTTCAAACAAGCAAAACGGCATTTGCAACCATCTGGTGGAACTCCCCAAAGAATCGTACCATCAACAAAGAAATCAACACATTACATGCCCTTAGATTCTCAACAATGCTTCCTCGATACAGGTCCCTGTTTATTGGGATGGCCATCTGCGTCTCCAAACCATTTTCCTTTCAGCTATAGTCTGTTTAGGTGCAGGTGGACCTCCCAAAGGTTTGCTGCCAGTTGCCCGGATTCAGAGACACACTCCACTATGTGCTGCGACAGTCCTCAATAAAATCACCCCAAAGAGGCATCCATGGACTCCATGCGCCAAGTAGCCAGGCCCTCTGGGCTGGTTGTACATCTCTTCAGGCGACATGGCCTGCGTCACGGTGCGCTTTCACGGTGCGTGGCCAAAATGGTCCCGGAACACACCGAAACTCCGGTGGCTTCGAAACCCCGAAACCTAGATGAGGTTGGTGAGGCACTCCGGGTTGTCTCTGGGAAACAAAGCTTGTCAACTTGTCAAGTTAATGCCACCCACGCAAGTGGTTTGATGATATGTCGGTGAGTACAACACATCGATCAGTTAAACCCCCCCAAAAAAGAAGTGACCAAATGGATGTTCGATTGATGGTCTGACATCATTGACACCAAGTTCTTTGCTTTGAAACAACACCCATACAAACAGAATCCCTGCTCAGATCAAAGAGAAACCTTGATATGTCCACACCTGCAAACGGATGTTGAATGGCATCCGAAAACGTCCAGATTTGGCACACGGTCCAATGAGAGTCAAAAAAAAACATACCATATTGTGCCCCAATGTCCCTGCTTGACTGGACGTGTCATGCCCAAATCTCTCTGAAGCCGCTTCACAACTTGGCAGGTCATCTTTTCGTCAACCTCTTGGGGCTTTGCTTCACCAACTTCAGAAAACCAAAGGAAGCCAAGGTCGATCGAAAAGGTCGTTTTGGGACGACTGAAAACACCACATGTCTGACCCTGACAAGCTGGCGGCAGCGATTAATATCTGCACAAAAAACACCAGCTGTTAACAAGTCTTGAGGCCAGAAACACTCCCGGCTGCTGTTTTTTGCTATCCCAAAGCTCTCACTTTTGGGTCTCACCGCCCTTGGTTCTCATCGTTGCCCCTCTGGTTCTCATCGTTCTCGCCGAGTGAAAAAGCCCAACGGTTTGGATCTTCCGAACCGATCCTTTTGGCGATCCTTGTGGGCCCCAACGTCATCCACTTCCACCAAGGATGATTCCTTCGGAGTCTGCACTACTCGCAACCTGCAGTCGGCTCTCCTCCAAGTCGTGCTCGTGCTCGAATTCCTCCTCTTCACCTTGCTCGACACCCGTTGGCTGATCGTAGCCTGCACTCTCCTGGGCAACCGGGGCCGAGCACTGGCGTATCGCTGGAGACGTCTCGCTACCTGGCCCCCCCCTACTTACTTTCTGGCGGTGCGTCCTTTGGTAGGTTTGTTTTTGGGGGTCCGGTGGACCTTTCTGATCATCGCCCAATCGTGCAAGGTCTGGCAAGGTCCTGACCAAGCCCCTGACGTCACTGAAACAGTTCGCTCGTCACCCAACCCCCTTAGCCTTATTCATGTGCATCTTCGCCTGTGTCCTGTCAATACACGGGTCTTAGTCTTCCTGAGTGCATGCTTGGTCCTCTGCAAAAACCAATCAAATGAAACCAAAACAAACGAACGTTCGCACCAACAGAACCTCTTCACTTGGACCTTTCAATTGGTCACTCACACATCCACCCAAACTTGCCCTCGACCTGGTCCAAGAACGCCCAGAAACGAACGCTTTGGTTCTTCTTTCTCTCCGTGCGGTCCGTGCGGTCCGCCGAACTCCGAACCGAGAGTCGGCATTGACCACACTCTTGGCTTCTTCCTGGATCTCCTGCTGCTCGGTCTCTTGATCGATCCTCAGCAACAGCAACACGCAGCAAAACAGCTGGACACATAGCACAGCTGGATGGTCTGTTTTGTCTTTGCGAGGGTCTTTTGATTTTTGAGATGATGCTCTTTCGGAGCTTTTTGTGGTGCTACGATTTCGAAACAAAGAAAGGTGATATCATTGCAAGTACACAGAACAAAATAAACAACTATAGAGAGGTCCGAGGTCCGCAAAAATCGAACATTATATATGTATATTCTGGTCGGTGCCGACATGTGCCGACCTCGTGAAGACAAGAAGTCGATGATTTTAATTGGGTTGACTCCGTGCGTTTTCACATCGCTAAGAGAGCAACGAAGAAGAGCCTTCAGCCTGGCCTTTTCGTGAGATGATGGGATCATGCATGTAGACCTGATGTAACGGCTAATTCCGGGCAACACCCCCCCGAAGATATCCCAAGATCGCTCCTCGATGGCCCTGGGGATCTGGGGGTCGCTGTTTTTCTCTTTTTTGTCCGTTCCTTGGTTTAGGGCTCAACCAAACCTGGTGAAGGATAGCCGAGAGCTCCAGTGGTCGCCTTTGCGCGAATGGAATGGAATGTTCCTTGGTTTCCTTGGTTCCTCCATCTCTTCCTCCCTCTTCCTCCATCTCTTTGAAGCCGCCCAAAAGCAAGCGAAGTAAGCGAAGCCGAGGCTCCGGTGGGCTTCGTCCGCACTCTTGCCGATACCAAACAGAAAGGCCGTGAACTGACGCAACCCGCGGGTGGTGAACAACACCCGTGGGCCGGATGTTCTTTGGATCCTCCTATCCCTCGGTTGAGGGATTAGAGACACATCAGATGATATTTCCAGTGACCATTGATTTAATAGCCTGAATCCCAAAGACCCTATTGTGTTACTGAGGATTTTACACTACAGAACCAGCTCAAGCATCTATAAGTCAACCGTTGAAGGCTAGGGAGATATACCTGCAATGGAAGCCCACAAGTGGTGCAATTATAGGGCAATCAATTGGATTCTATATAGATGCCCTGGATGATCGATCCAAGATGATCCAGGTATTTGTATGGTCCCAGAATATCCAAAACTTTAGGACATTTTCAAGACCAGGCATGACAAAGGGGTGCCGAACTTGGAGGATAGGGGTGCGCATTATCCACTCACTTAGGGGCTAACAACATCTAGCAACTACTATCCCAACATGTGACTCCTGGGATACATGCTTTCCAATGTCATCCGCGCAGGTCTCTGAAGACCACCCTCAAATGTTTCTTCTGTCAGGTTGGGGGCGATTGCCGAAGAGACAGCTGGTCCAGCTGGTTCGAGCCCAGAGAGGACTAGCGGGCAAAGGCCAGCCCTGTTAGCGTGGCAGGACTCGTTGAACTTGTGGGGAACATGGAGCTAGTAGAAGTGCGTTTGTGATGCGTGTGACAATCTCACCATTCACGCGGGTAGACAACCGCTTCAGGCCCCAATTTGTAGAGCTTCGGGGTGGTTGTGTCTTGGCTTGAAAGGTTTCAGCAAACGCAAGCAGACATTTCCAAGAAAGAATGTTGAGTGCTTATTTTCATCGTTTGTCATTACCCCTTCAAAACTAAACCGAAATAGCAATCATCTCGGTCTTGAACATGGAGTGATGAGGCAATGTAGGCTTCAGTGACACACAAAAATACAGGGCTCCTTTGGTGTCTTCAAGAAGCACTTCTTCGGAAGTCACCCAGCATCAGGGTGCCTTCCAGCAGCACATCCTCACCTATACAACTCAAGGTTTGCTCTGTGTTTTCTGGAGCACGATGTGGGTGTGTATTTAAAGGCTTACGCCTAACAGCCGGCGCCGGCCCACTAGGGTCTGTGTAGGGCTGGGTCGGGTGCACGTGCAGCTATCGGGGGCGTACTGGGCCCTTGGTTGGGCCAAGTTGGGCCCATGTGGTCTATGTTGGGCACATCTTGGGCCCATGTTGAGCCTATGTTGAGCCTATGTTGGCCTATGTTAGGCCTATGTTGGCCTGTGTTGGCCTAGGTTGGGCCTATGTTGGGCCCGTATGTTGGCCCCATGTTGAGCCATCTTGGAGGCTATGTTGGGGATATGTTGGCTATCTTGGGCCTATGTTGAGGATATGTTAGGCAATTTAAGCCGTCTGGAGGGCCTCTACCCACAAAATGTCGATTATGCCTGTCCGCCCGGCGCGCATTACCGACACCACCCTTGAAAAACAAAGCGTTTTTGCATTTCTCCATCTTCGCCGCGTCGCAATTCGATATGCGCAATAAACCCTGTAAAACACAGTGTTTTTTATACCTCACACACACACGAAACACCGTAAATTACAGGTATTTCTGTGACCCGGAGGTGGGGAGGAAGTAGGAAGGGAGTCCCCCGTTTTGGGCCCGAGGGTCGGCGGCAGGGGGCGCGAGCGTATATCCGGGCCGTGTCCTGCGTAAGGCATTCTCCTTCTGCGAAGCAGAAAGCAAATCCGCCCCAGCCGTGGGACCCAGAAAGCCCAGTGTTTTTGACGTTTCTTTTTTTCCGCGCTTGTTCCTCAACATAGGCCCAAATAATGCTGGAAATGCTTCCCGCACCAGAGTGCTTCGTCTGCATCATGGGCGGATGCTGGGCTAACATGAGCCCAAGCTAGGTTACCACCGAAGGCCCTCCGGGCATGCCACGGGCTCCTGGCCGGCGCCCGGACTATAGGGAGACCTCCCAGCCAACGACCCGGAAGAAGATCAGTATACCGGTCGACCCAGCGAGTGTTTGGGCGAGAAAGGGGTACTGTATCTCAACATCACAAGCCCAAACACTCCATGGGCCTGATATATGTACCTACATTGACCCCCTGACATCAATACCTATCAACTACTCCATAGGACTGACATACCTATATGTACCTAATATACCTCAACCACCCCAATGTATGCCAGTCCGATGGAGCGACGTTCCGTCCAGGTCGTCATAGCGACGACGTGTGACGAAGGCTCTCCAGGGTCGTGTGACGTGTCACGTGGTGGAAGGAAGTCAACAAGCATATGGATGTGCGGAAAAACACGGTACAGGGAGCCTTAGGGAGCCTACAGGGAGCCTTAGGGACCATGAAATTATTTACCATGTTTTCTTTTTACCATTTTGCTTGAGTCGTATATGATTCTGATGACATCGACACATTTCGACACCCTCTTGCGCTGCAGGCAAAGTCATTTTTGGGGTTCCCGCCTCCGCCGTGCGCCGCCGAGGACCCCATGGCAGCAGTGCCGATGGCACTGCATGCTCGATGGAGCTGAGGTGTCGCTCGGTGCCTCACGAGAAGGGGAGCAAGCAAATCCCAGACACTCCATGTATGCCATATATGCCGATCAATTGGGGTGGTTTGGGAGGTCAATGGGGCGGCATAAATATAAGGCAGTCCCATCAGTCGTGTCTGGGAACGTATTACTTAATTAAGTAGAAGGAGGGCTAGTATGTTGGAGGCCATCGCTCTTAGATTGGAGGCGTTTTTGACATGTATTGTGATAGTGGACCCCCCAACCAAAGGGGTAGACTTGGTCTATATTCCTCCTCCACGGGGTCGTTGCCTGGGGGGGTCTCCCTATTCTAGTACCCGGGTAGAAATGTGGCACAGGAATCTGTGCACAAAATCCAACCAGTGGGTGACGTTTGATAATGATTCTGTGGATCACGGGCACTTTTGTGATGTTTTGTGCATGCGCGCAGTAGGTAAGGTCCAAATTCAGAACAGAAAAGTAATTGGCTGGGTTACCAAACAGATCCTGCGCATACCCAATGGCAATCTTTCGTGTCCGTGCTCAGGGGAAGGTCAAAGTCTACATAGTGTCCTTCAGTTTTTATAAACAAAACTTGAATGGAATACCAACTTCAATCAACTTTCTATCTGGACACCAACTTCCTTCTTCTCACAATAGCAGGGTTCCTACCTACACCCCTCAGACCTACAGTCCTCCCTCCCGGTCCTCCCGGTCCGCTCACCAAACGACCACGGCCCGCCCGCCTGTCTGCAGCAGCCCGACGCTTCGCCGTAAAGAGCCCACCGACTGGCAGCGGGGAAACGGGAATCGGGACACGTCCGTATGGTGGAGTTCCATGGCCCAAAGGCTCAGTGGCAGGACCCAAGCCGGTGCGCCGGGACCTCGCGGTCCGGGCTTTGACCCGAAACAACGAACGGGTGAAACTGGTGGGGTTCAACCAACATGTAGCAGGTTCGGGGGCCGAACGGGTCGCCTCTGGGTGGGGTGGAGCTCCACAAGATCACACAAGTACACTGCATGCTCAAACATTTCTGTGCACGTGCTTGTCAAACTTGACAAGCAAAGGTGTGTACAAGAACGTGCAAGGCCAGTTTCTGGCACCTCATGACAGCATAAGATCAGTTCAGCAGAATCCTCCCCTTCATGACTGCATGCCCGGTTTACGCAACGATTGCAGAGACCTGTTCTCCGATCCCCCGAGGGCCCACGAGACCCAGGGAACCGCCTTCCCTGAGGACCGACCCTCTTTCCAATTGCAACCGGGGCAATCGAAAGCCGACCCCGAACGCATCGATTCCAGTCCAATCCTCGTGAAGAATATGTGAAGATTGCACCGAAATGGTCCTTAAGTAGTCTGTTCCGTTCTATCTCTTATATAGTGCCATATACATCTTGGCCAATCATGGCCAATCCTCATGTGACCCCCATGCCCTCCCTCCTCATGCAGCGATCGCCCCGCACCGACGCACCGAGACACGCTGTCGCACCGCTCGCGCAGTCGCCCGCGCCTTGGAAGGGTACGAGCCCATGCGAAGACGGTCGCCATAGCCTGACGAAGAGGGTCGGACCCATTCGCCGCCATCGCGCCGCCACGGGGGGTCGATGTCAAATCCGCCTAGCCCACGACGAGTGACCTGATGGGGTCCACGGTGTCTGACACCGAGCCGTGTGGGGAGCGAGCAAACCACACCGTTCCAGCCGATGGATCAACCAAGAGAGCGCCCGTACGAAGTGCGGAAGTCGAAGTCAGTACTTCCATGCACTTCCCACCAGTTCCCAAGTGAAGAAAGTGCTTAAAAGATGTTTAAACATGTTAAAACCAAGTATGGACACCGTGTCTTCTAAAGAGAGTCAGGTTTTGTTTGAGGTTTGTCGTTGTTTCTTCACGAGCGTGTCTTCCTCCACTGTCGAGCCACGCCAGGGCGATGGAGACCGGTGGAGCGTCCCGACGCTGCGTGGCGAGTGTGAGCGCATTTGACGTTGACCTGACCAAGGGACCGGCCGGCCCAGGTCCCGCCGGATAGGCCGGCCCAGGTCCGGTCTGGGAGAGTGTCTTTTTTTGGTTTTGGACACTCACTTGGACCTGTTACAGGCAACTCACAAAGTCCTACCCAAAAACCATGACATTGTCAGAAATCCATGGGACGTGCAGGCATGACATGGTCGTTTCCCATCGTTTCCCTGTACTGACAGATTGTGTTCCTCAACCAAGGTAGTGTTCAGGGTCCATGGACCATTCTTCAGCGCGGTAAGGCGCGCGCGAGGTACGCCTCGAATCGAAGGGTCCAACGTTGCCAGATGTTTTACGCGGGAAATATATGGGGATTGATTGAAAGGGGAGGACGGCGGTTTTTGGAAGAACCACCGGGCAAATACGGAAGGTAAGATAGGTTGCTATGAGTTGCAACTTGGATGCCATCATTTGGAAGTTTTGGTCTAGGAGAAGCCCAGGAACCTACAGTTCCCATAACCTGCTTGAGAGCAGTGCAGCTTGGATCTCGAAACACTGCAAAATACAAAGATTCTTGTTGGAAACTTTGAAGCTTCTGATAGCTTCTGTGTCTTCCACTACATGTTCCTGGCCATATCGACACGTGCTCAACTACCAACACATGCAACCAAAGGACGTCTGAACACGAGACAATAGAGTTTGTCACGATACCATTTTTTTCCTGGCCGCCACTGCGTTTTGGAGGCCGTTCTCTCGTCCGGTTGCGAGATCGATTTCTTCCCAACCAATCTCTATACCCTAAAATATAGATTTGATTGGCAGGCATATTTTAACTTAGATTTGATTATGAACCGGGACACATAAAATAAAACACTTTCGCCAGAAGGGGAATCACCCATCAGGGAAGCCAGACATCACCCCAAGCCATCCATACCTTATGCACAAGATCATTTGAAGACAAGACACGCTGCAGCAAATGCTTCAGCCGCTTGGAAGCACCGCTTTTGCGACGTCCTGATGAGTTCACTGTCACTCCGCTGCTTTTTGTTGCAAATCAGTGACTGGACATGAAAGTTTGAGAACGCATCTACAACCATTCAACGACATTCGATATTGAACATTTGATGGAACTTTGATTTATTTCCATTCTACTTCTTTGAGCCACCAAGTCAAATCTATCCTTTTTGTCTATGTATCACGTCATTCACAACTCAACAAAATGTTCTTCCATGTAGTTCTCTGCCTTTCTGGAGCTAGTGAAATACCCTTCCACGCCACTCCACCTCCCCGCAATAGCCTTCCATGTTTGTTGTGGCTTGTGAACTCTGGCTTGCTTTTCGGTCACCCGGCAAGTTCCCAGCTCTGCGCTTGCGCTCGGGCTGGGCGAACCCAACGGAGTGAGGGGTGTCTTCCTCGAGGCGAGTGAGAACGGTGAGGTGATCGGCCATGTCCTCGGCGCCGCGCTGCCATGCGAAGCGTGCGAAGTGGAGCGAAGCGGAGCAGTCTGCTCAGACCCAGTCAGGAACCCGGTCCAGCTCCCAGGGGTGGATGATCGTTCGGTTGCAGGCTGACATCTCTAAAACAGTGTTCTTGTCGTGAAACCTCTCTCCGGCTCGTTTTTTTTCGTTCTTTTGGGGGCGGCATCTGTTGGCTCCATTCCCAATTCTGCTGGTTTTTCTATGGCAGTGGGTCCAAACCACCGGGAGGACTGGTGAAGCACCGATCGATTGGATTGGCTGTCTACAGGGCTGTCTACGGATGTCACGCGAATGAATTGGTAGGGTGAGGTTTTGACCCACTTGGCCAGAGAGCGGTCACAGGAAGACCTCAGCAGGCGAATCGGAAGAAGGACACTTCTTGAAAATAGAATGGTCTGCCTACTGGGCCAGGAGAATTTGCTGTTCCAATACACTCCCAAGATCCCCCACGTGAGGATCTATGTCTGACATATCGACACAGTGAGGATCTATGTCACCTGGGTTGCACAAAGCCTAACATGTCGCTTTGCTGGTGCTATTCACACATCTAAAAAAGCTTTCACCTCTGCTTCGTTTCTTCATCTTTCTTCCATTCCATGCAAAGTCGCAGCCCAGGGACTGTGATAGCCAGACTTGCCGCCTTTGCCTTTCCCCTTGCCCTTCATCCAATCATCAAAAGTGCCTCCATCGCAGCGCTGCTGCAGGATTTGCTGCACATGAACCGAAGAGGCACCCTGCTTGGTTTCTGGGTGTTTTTATCTCCTTGGTTTGGTTTTCTCTACAGATCGATGTGGGAGAAAACATCAACACACTGATGTCATTTGCTGCAAGTTGGACAGCGATGCCAGGGGATACAACATCCACTCTGCCAAACACATGAGATGTTCATTGCATTGGTATTAAACAACCGGTACCGGTACCACACAATGAAGAATCCCTTTGAACCATAACTGCTATATTGTATATATATATGCATGTTGTGCTAGAAAAGAAACTGGCAGTTCCGGAATGACCGAGTTCTCTCTCCAATACACAGCGGTCGTCTCAGATGTTTTTTCGGCCTTTTCCTTTGCCGGCTTTGCCCTTTCCTGAGAAGAGCCGTTGGCCAAGACAGGTGGAGAAAGATGAATTCGGATGGATACATCGATGGATAATGGATTAACAATAACTCCTCACTCACAGATTATATACCGCGGGGCATGGCTGGTTCAGTAGCAAGGCTATGCGCATCTTTTGATGCATGCCGAGATCAAGCAACTTGGATTCCCAAGGCAAGGACATGCCCGAAATGATGCATGTGTCAGCGAGCAACAATTTCTGTTGAAGGTTCAGAATGAATCCACTGAAGTCTTAGATGAATTCACGTATATTCACGTTAATTCGGATGAATACGTTCTGAAGATTTCTGAAGTACATTGTGTGAATCCAAAAGAAGACACTGATGTTTCAACTTGCCACGTGGTTTAGTGAATATCTCTGTCTCAATCCCCGAAGCACTTAGAAAAAACACATCAGCGGCTGCACAGTGCACGGGCACAGGCAGTCCTGAACCAGCTGTTTCTGCATCTGGTCCTGCACGATGCTCTGAAAGAGCCAGCTCAGTTGCTCCAGACCTCTCAGTTCCCCTTTGACACTTTGCGGTCACAAGAATGCACCCAGAAATTCTTGGCATCCTTGGGGTCAATCATCCAATGAATCCTTACCAAAAGCATCCATGGGACCGGAATAATTCGTTAATATTCGTTATGTAACACCTTAATTTACCCCATCGAAGAGCCTAACTCAGAGTTCTCTTCCAGTCCCAGTCCCATGAGGTTAGAATCACCCAGTCAAGCTTCTCTCCGAGAGAGCTCAGGTCTCAGGTCGCCGTAGCCGACTCGGGTCTGGCTCAGGTACCGCATCGCGGCGAAGAGATACATGCATCTCTGTGGATTCGGGAACAGGAGACCTGCACTCTGCGAAGAAGACAGGGAGCCGTTTGGAAGAAAGCGAATGGGCACACCGTGTTCCAATGGCATGTTGTCTACCTCCCAAAAATGGGAGTGCCTTGCAACAAGGGGCTCTGGACGAACTCCTGTTCTTGTGGTTCTTTGGGGGTCAAAGCATTTTGGACTTGAACGAAGCTCGCTCCTAGAGCATCATCTGGAGTTTCCAAAGGCGGCTGGTCTCAACTCCTATCCAGCCGACACCACATGTCATATGACTCCTTTCCGGCTCCGCTCATTCCCTTCCAGTCTTCCCCCTCCGACCCTCCTGAAGCAGCCGAAGCTTCCGCCGGCCCTGCCGTGGAAAAGAGCGCGCTGGGAGCGCGGAACGGGAGCGGCCACTCAACGGGGACCGAATTCGGAGGCTTGACGAACAAAAGAACAACACTGCCAACAATCTGGTTTCATAGGTCATGGCTTAAGGGCCCCCCCTGGAACAATTAAATAAGCCATCCCCTATCTGGTTTCATTGTGAGACTTTGGATTGCTTTCAGGCCAACGGGGGTGGTTTAGATCGCTTTTCGGTCTCCCGTGAGTGGACCAGTGCATCCCGACCCTGCGTCGACTCCTGCGCTGCCCTGCCTTTGGCATCGGCACCCTTCGCCTCGGCTTTCGCCTCCTTCGACTTGTTCTGTCCTAAGCTGAGCAGAAGATGTCATGAAGGTCAACGTGCGTTCATGGCGCACGTTGAAGGTGAAATATATCATCCCCTTAGAAGGAGCTTTGATCGACTACCACATAGCAAATGAATGCAAATGACATGAAATGACCCCCTTTTTCCCCTCCTGTTCAAAGGCCAACATGGTCTTCATGTGACGGTTCTATCTTGCGTTTAGGCCGACATGGTCCCCCGCCGTTTGAGGGAACCACCTCTCGCCGGCCACTGGACCAGGGCCCTCTGAAGCAGGCACTGGACGACTGCCCGGTCGGTGCACCCTGGAACGACCCGACCGGGACCTACGGTCGTGCCGCCGGGCGACCGCCTGGCTCAAGGGGGAATGCCCTAAGATGCCCTAAGAATCCGAGTCCGGGCTCTCCATGGCAGGGGTCCGGACCTTCTCCACCGAAACGCAGGGGTCCGGGTCCGAACCAAATCCTATCTGTTTGAGGGTCCGGATTCTTAGGGTGTGCCAATTCTCATGTGCTCCTCGTGGAGAACTGAAACTCTCCCAAAAGAATCGGGGAAACCACGAAACCACTACTGAAACTATCTGGTAGAAGCAGTCTTCATCTTCGGATCCGACAACTGTGTAGTGTACCCGTTGCATCACCAACTCGTGACTGGGCATAATCATCCTGATGTGTAGATAGAATATCAGTTCCAAAGGTGCTTTCAATATGGGATAGTCGGGAATCTTCAATACACATGCCACACGCACATGTTGAATCTTGTTGATATGATATGATATGATATGATATGATATGATATGATATGATATGATATGAGATGAGATGAGATGAGATGAGATGAGATGAGATGAGATGATGATGATGATGATGATGATGATGATGATGATGATGATGACGATGATGATGATGATGATCATGAATCATCATCATCGTCATCATCATCATCATCAAACATACTACACCAAACTCGGTTGTGTTGGGGGAGAACCTCTGCACTTGCTGCTCCCAAAGAGCCGTCGCTGCGTCGCTCGCCCCCGGTGGCGTCCAAAGCACCGGACGCAGCGGCCGTGGTCGACGTGTCGGTCCCCGAGTGGGTCGGTCCCGCCGTGGCAGAGGCACCTGGGAGATGCGGTTGGGGTCGGGGTCGACTGGTGATGGAGAGATGCGGTGATTGTGATGATGGTGAGGGTCAGCTGAAAGGAAGATTGAAAATGTCCTAGTGATCAAGAAGGATCAAAATGGCATAGCGGTCCTGGTTTCAGGAGTACAAGGATTGAATCCTGGGATGAAACTAGAGGATACTAGAGGATGGTTCTCTTTCATCATCTTTCATCATATGAGGACGTTGGCTGATCCTCAACTCTGTCTGGTCGGCTTTCCACCTGACATATATAACCACCCTGAGGAATGTCCCACGAGTGCACAAGCTATTGGAGACCCGGCAAATGGAGGACAGGAGCGGAATACAAACCCTACAGCATCCTACAGCCTATAGCGTAAATACCCACTTATATACCAGCACCTTCCAACAGGTCTCCGACAGGTCTCGGCTTTTGTAGACTTAAAAGTCGCAGGTGGTCACCGGCACCTGGAACGTTGTATAGCGATGCCACCCAGTCGGATCATCGAACACACACCTATCCTTTATGGGTATATCGGTATATCACCAGTCGCAGTGCATGATGATGGTTAGTAAAGACCTAGGCAAGTGCAAACTGGACATGATCATTTTTTTCGTGCAACAGTGGATGATGATGGTTAGTAAAGACCTTTCTCAAACATAGCTGGTAATGGGACACGCCCCTAGCCATGTGCAATCAAAATGATGCTAAAATGCCATACTGGGGCCATACTGTCAGTCTTTCATCCTTTCAACTCATGGGCTTGGGGGGTTTTAGACCCATGTCTTCGATTGGCTTCATCCTTTCAACGTTCACGGACTTCCACTCCCTTCACTCGCCCCACCTGTGTCCGGTTCTTTGCCCTGGACGATGGCCTCCTTCTTGGAAAGGCCTCCCGTTGTCTTGCTCAGAACCGTGCGGACCGTGCTGTAGGCAACAAGATGCAACAAGAGATCTGAGAGATCTGTTTTCCTGTTCACACAAACAAACACTCGCCATTTGTCCCCTACGCAAGCCTTCAACAAACACTCGGATTGACTGGAAATTTCAGTGTTGATCTGTTTCCGGTGGCACTGAGTGTAGACTGTCCCGAGTGCCGTACATCATTGGAGGAACCGGGCTTTGTGCACAGGTGATGCAACCGCCACTGATGGCTCGCTATGAAGCAAGCTTTGTAGGCCCGGAAATCCATTCCATGACAAACTTCTCAGAACTGGCCTTTCTGTTGGTTGGGTGGCTATCTACGGCTCAAACATTGCTATCTAGGGCGTCTTCATCCTCGCCCACTGCCTTTGCCACTGCCAACGATCTCTCGGGTGACGCTGTCGTGCTGATGTTCGGCGAAACTGCCTTGGTGGTTAACAGCGAGACTGCCGTGTCAGGTGTTGAGTCAATCATTGAGTTTACTCGCAAACATCCTTAGCTTTGCCCAAGGAAAAACAATGGTAGCAATGTTGTTGGGTGTCAGGCCAAGAGCAAGCGTTGAGTATCTTTGCTGTCACAAGAGAGATTTGTGAAATTGCACTGTTGGCGCAGTCTTCTGCTGCTGCTGCTGCTGAACATCGCATCAACACCAATCACATCAAAGAACGGGCACGAACTATCAAGGTTTGAGAGAGGCTCAGCAACTGATGCGGAAAACAAGATCTTGTACACCGCAAAAGTTTGGTGTAGCCAACTAAACTACTAGTAGCAGGGAAAAGGTCGGAATTGGAGATGGTTGGGAGCAAGTTGGCCTCAGCCAATGAATGGGTGGATGGTTGATGTTCTCTATATATAATTACTGCAAAACCGCTTGGGAAAGGTATAGTTGAAACAACTATGTTTTGACTTTTTTGGTGCTTCTTCGTAAAAATATTCACTGAAGTAACAACCTTGAATGTGGTTATATAGTGTATTCTATCACTACCTAAGTTGGATTGGTTGGTTGAGAACCAGGTGCAAGGAGGTTCCCTACTGAAACCTTTCCGTTTTTGGTCATATACTCAGGTTCCCATCTGTGAATGTGCAGCACTCCGATGAATATCCAAATGAATCTTCCGAACGACTGCAACTCCAGGAATTCCACCTCTTTGGCGCTCTGATATCCCATCATGAGGTCTCTGAAGTGATATGGCCCGCGGCCCGACTTGACTCTTCAGTCTTCCATGACTCTGAAGGCATGTCTTCCATGGGTCCACGACATGACCATTCAACTGAATATGTCTTGCACTTTGTCAAGCAAAGGGCAAAGCACAATGACTTCAGCGTTCTTCGTGAATAGGCGAGGGTGATTGTCATGCAAAATGACCATTTTCCCTGCCTCTTCCCTGCTCAAAACCTCTTCGCTGCTAATCAGCTTGTCTGAAAAAGTCGGTGTACGACCACCAAGGAGTCTATGGAGTGCCATGCTTTACCTGCAACAACTAGACTTCCGTGTGCAGCACACCCCTCACTGCCAGAATCAAACCGACACGATCTGTAAAGCGCCGTGGTGACCCCTTCGACAACCCCAAAAAACAATATGAGTTGCATCGCCATCCCAATCCAGCATTTATTTCTAAAGCTTCCACCATGTCCACACATCCTGCGGTGCACTTACTACGCCAAGGCCGCCAAGACTCTAAAAAACGGATGGACACCGTGAACGGTGCTTCTCCCTCTTCCTCGCGAAAAGAAACTCCACAGACAGCGACAGGGAGGTGCTTTCTCAATTGCAGTGGAGATGGTTCCATACATGGATGGTCTTTCAAAGCGTAAATTCATGTGTATACATATCCATCAGCATCCATGAAAGCACATGGAGGCGCACTGGCAATAGATATCCATATGGTCAGTTGATTTCGACATCGCTTGATGCAACCACGTAGAGAATCGATGGACGCACGGCTTCACCACGGCTTGAGGACGGTCGAAAGAACCACGGCTTCACATGAATGACCAATGGACGAAATAATTAAGGAGTCTTGCGTCCGTGTGCAAAATGAGTCTTTAAGGGTATGTGACTCCGAGTCTTTTGCTAGAATTGAATCCACCAACATCTCCAAAAAGACGATATAGATGTGTCCGGGGATAGTTCATGTTCTACGCAGCTGCAAATGGCCTTCTTGTGGGTACACCGTGACAGGCCTTTCAACAACGCCCCCCGTCACATCGCGTTCGTCGCGCGCGTGCGTCGCAAACCGCGGTCGCAGGTTTCGATCGACTACCCTGGCCGCACACCTACGCCAGGGAAGGATAGGTTCCAGCAGAAGTCATCCTGGCGAACAGTGTCCAAGATTGTCCAAGTGTCCAGTGAAATCTGGGTGAAATGGCTCAGTGAAACCGTTCAAGGGGTGAATAAGTTCACCCCGACTGTCTGAATGCTTCTCGAAGTCGGCTCAGTGGTCCACCTAAGGTCGCTTGGTCAGGAAGGAACTCCATCCGATGCTCGGAGCTATGTTGTGAAGCTGACACTAGTTTCGAGTGTCTGATGTGTTCACCCATGTTTCGAGTGTCAAGGCTTTCACTGCAAGGGTTTGAGGATGGGACACATTCTCAACACCTATGCATTGGGTCAGAGTCTATCCTATTACCAGTAACAGTGGATGATGACATGCATATTCATTGGATTATAGAGCCTTGCTGCCTTGCTCACGTCTCACCTCTCCCCTGTCCTGAGAGAAGGCTTGAAGTGTACATGGCATGATAGCAGCAGCTGAGGATCCAAACTGAAAGAGGTGGATCCTGTAGATGGCTTTAGAATGCTTTTGGAGCTCAAGAAATGTGGCTCTTGTTGCAGGTTCACGTGGACTTGGCGTACGTAGCTGTGATGAAGAAGGTGCGCCTCCTCTGCAGATGGATGTATTGGGTGAATCCAATCAATTGCAAAGCAGTGAGCGGTGAAAGCCGCGCTCCATGGTGATGTTGTGATGCTGTAAGACCTTCACACTGGAGCGATAGTAGATGAAGTAGGGGGGCATTGTTCTGATGAATGCAGGAACTACAACTGTCCAGTCACCTGCATTCTCCAACTTAGCTCAAACAAAAACAGACTCAAGAAGTAAGCAGCCACCTCTAAAAGGTTGGTAGTCTTCGACAACCCTTCACTTGCTTTACCTGTTCATGTTGCGACATCAGATGCTTCATGATGCTTCTGGCTTTCTACATGCTTGTACACGGAATTCCTGCCGGCTGCTGAGACCAAAGTCGAAAGAACAGACCGAAGCCGAAAAAATCGTAGATGTCCAATACCCAGACACGACACATGGGACTGCCATACGACTGCCGCCCCATTGACCCCCAAAACAATTGATCGGCAGTCCGGACTGGCAGTCTCAGACGGGTCGTGTCTGGGAGGGCGCTCCGAGTTCGGCTTTCCCTACGATCGGACCTTCGAAGTCGGCCACTACCTGAAAAGGATCGATAGCGCGTCTGGGCCAAGTTTGGGTGGTTTATATGGACCCCTACAGCGAAAGACCTCGCGCCAGTAGTGCCATCGCGCCTGGGTACCCCACAGCTCGGTGGGTGAGAGACTGCGAGACGATCCAAACACACATCACCCCTCGTCACATCCTGCTCACGACGGATACTCCCAAGGTGTTGGTGCGACCTTTGCCGAAAAACCATGAGATGACTTGGACCATTCACTATGTGTAGTTGCTGTGGATTGGAGGCTCTGTTAGGCTCTGTTGACGCCCGGCGGGCGGCTGGGGTGGCACACGTCAGAAGGTGCCCCGCAGCAATCTCCCCACTTGGAGATGCATCGAAATCGGCTATCTACCATACTCAGCTCCTCTACCATACTTCAGGGTATATACTGGATTGGACCCACAGTATGGCTCAAAAGGGAACTTCTATGGACCACGATCTGTGATATCGCCACCAAAATATAAACTGTTGATTCGTAAAGCGCTCATTGTCATGAACCCGCGTATGGAGATGTAAAACCATTGTGGAGGGGAACGGGCTTTGTGAATCAGTTTAGATTAAGAGAGGGCCGCAGTGGCGCGCTGGGCGGCCTCTCATGGGGAAGCCAAAGGCTTGTAGTTGCCAGACCAACATGGCACCCCACGACCCCACCAGACCAACATTTCTGGCTCTTTGCACCCCGTGAACTGAAAAACGCTTCTGGTGCGTTCGAGTAAGTGTGAAACCTTGAGAAGCATTCCGGGAGTCCGTAAGGTGTAGGTAACAGCTATAGTGAATGGAATGGATGTGAATTCAACAGAAACCACGAAAACCAAAGGATGCTTGTTTTTGAACACAACCAGCACAGAGTTGAACATTCGATGAACCAACTTCTTATATCTTCTGAGTACAAAAAGAGTTGAGTAGTATCCGGCAAGAACGCCAGAATGGAATGCCTCGTTCAACGGGGCGGAAACGAATCGTGCAAAGTCCCTAAAGCAATCTGCGACGCGACGACCATCGCACGAAGGCGATCACACTTCTGGATCCTTCTGGCCAGATGGCCTTGTACAAGGCAGGGAAGTGCCTTGAACATTATATATTAATGAAACATCTGCAGTGCAAAAATGATCCACTTGGCCAGAAAAACGCCCTGAGACTCCATACTCCAATGACTCCACTCTCGAAACATGACCTAGAACTTGGATAAGTTTAGCTGCTTCCACTGAGCCCCGGGGTAGGCTTTGAATTGACCTCTCCAAAGCTTCACAACCACAGGTGTTTTCTACCGCTCATATAATACGCGATTTATGAACATGGGCAGGTAAACGGCCCTATAGACGCACTGATATTCTAATATAACATTTTCTATACATGCATAGTGTATTGAATATATAGACATGTCAATTATAAGGATGTTAATGCATCCTATGCTACAACTCCGAGAAATGTATCATGGCGTTCAGCAGATCGCTTGAAGGTGTGAGACTCGAATCGTGAAACTCCTAACGTCCTCTTCATGCGACGCTTGACGCAGCGCAGCGCAGCGGCGATGATGTTTAAAGACATGATCGAAGGATCAAAGACCTGGTTTCACGGGTGAACACCTTGCTGAGCCCTATAGATCCGGATCTCGTATCTACCTAGGTCATCCTGTTTGGGTGACCAATAGATGTCCAGGACAACACTGCTGTCCAGGATGATCCTTTGGAGACCGGATGATCCTGGTGTCTATAATCCATAAACATCCATAACCAACAAAGGTTAAGTGAGCTGAACTAGGACCCTGCCAGGGTACCCAACTGGGATAGCTATAAGCAGGGTTCTTCAACCCAAACATCCACAAAACCCGTGAAAACATCGGAGATGAGGATCGGACCCGAATCGGAATCTACACGGCCGTTCCGCAAAAAAACCCAAGTTCGATCGAGCAGGACGGCTGGTATCGAACAAGGTGAAGAAAAACACAGAAACAGCTGTCAGGGAGGAGCATGTATACTGTGTTTTCTACAGAGGGAAGGTCAAAACCCTGATGTCTATGTGTGTACATCACAAAATGCTGAAGCAGAAGCTGCTCAAGCGTGCGAAAGCCCAAAGCAGCCTTTCGGTTGCTGGAAGGTGTAGACCCGGAAAAAGCATAACAGAACTGCAAAGCCAAGGATTGACACCCCATTCCCTTGTTGATTCGTGCGTTGAGATCTTCCCTTTTTAAGATCCTTTTTGCAAATTCTAGTAATTTTAATCTCACGGCTCTGTTCAAGTATATATGGGTTGTCCAGCAAGCAGTCAGAAATCATGGTTCTACTGACCACTCAAGTAGAACTCCAGCTGAAGCTTGGAGGATCTTTTCTCCCAGATGCCAAGTGTCATGCATGAAGAGGGCGAGTTAACACCAATGCTCAAGCTGAACTTTCGTGCAGCGGCATCATTACAAGGCGAAGTAATGCAAAAGGCTGGAAGCTGGACCTACCTGAAGCTGTGCTGTCTATCTTTGAAGCCTAGGCAAAAGAGAGGCCTGAATAGTGGCAAGCGCCTGCAAGCACATCCCTCCATCCCGATGAACAACTGGTCAAGGGATATCTCAATAGGGCTCCATTGCATAGCAGCATAGCAGGCTATGCAAGGAAATCAAAAGTTCTGAATACCTGCAGGAGATGGTGGGAAAGTCCTCCTTAACACATCTTAAGACTGACGTATGTGGTTTGGATCCACAGGATACTCAGCCAGTTGTCCCCTTTAGAACTATAGAATAGCTTTTAAAATGGAACATGACCTTGCGCCTTCCAGGTGCCTTCAAACAATCTATGAATGGAGACTGACCCAGCAACTTGGTATGACTCAGCTAAACAAGTGACCTTCATATGAACCCTATGCCAAGATCCAACGTCCGCCTCTTCTCACGGGTGTTGCTCTCACCGGTATCCGTGAGAAGGAAGCTTTTTCACCGACCTTCCATGCGAAGTGAGTGTGACTGGGCTGCATAGGCAAAGAGTCTGACTGAGGCGTTTTTATATCATGCAATATAGCAGCTGGGAATGGCAAGAAACACAGGGATTGTCGCGCCCCATGAGTTCCCTGGTTCGTTCGCGATGCGCCTAAATTATGACATATGAATAGCTAATGTCAACCATCCAACAGTGGTGCCTTCCTCTCCTTCGTGGCTCCAACAGTGCTTGGAAAACCACCAAGTCACGCTGACGTGCTCCTTCCGGTGACCTCGTTCGGTACCAACGCTGACAGCGGTGTCTGGGCCGAAAGAGGCCTTGCGATCGCCGAAAGAGGCCTTGAGGCGGACCAATTCTTCTCCCATGTCCTCCCCAAGAGCAGCCCTCACCAGTCGCAGCTTTTCTGAAGAAAATGCAACCAAACCTGCCCATCCACGAAGAGCCCGAGAGTAACGACGCGCACGGACGCGCGCATCCTGCCAGATGAGATGTTTCGTTGGGTCCAAAGCCCAAAGGCAGCCTTTTGAGCCAGTGGTAGACCGGGTTGATCGAGAACTTGGGTCGAAACACATAGAACATCGAACCCATGGATGGATGTGCAGGTGTTGCTTGATTTGTCTTTCCTTTGGCAACAGCTTTGGGATGCGCACTGCTTGTACTCCTTTTGATTCCTTTTCCCCTCCTGACTACAACTGACTGCCCACCCTTGCCAGGCATACCGTCACAACCAACGAGCCGTTGGCTTCGAACGGACGTCCCTCTCCAACCTCTGCGGTATCAACGGAGATCGGTCTGCAGCCCTGGCCAACTGGTGGACACCGCCGCGTCTCGTCGCCGCTTCGAAGGGACCAACGACAAGCCACCGTCCGTCGTGCTCGAAGACGAGCGAAAGAGATCGTCCGAGTGGCAGCTGTGGGGACAACATACTTGTGAAAAAAACAACAACACCAGAAAAAAAAAAGGACATCAAATAGGCTCTGACGAGTTTACCAGATCAAACCAGCATCATCCTTTCCTATATAGAAGGCCTTTTTCTATTTTTTCTTGTGCCAGGACCTTCAGTCAATCTGTATCAAATGTCCTCTCTTTGAATGATGAAATCCGACGAGTCTGACGTTGAATCAGGATCCCGACAGGGATAAGCCGAGTGAAGCCGAAGGAAGTCGAACGCGCCAGTAGATTATGCGAAACAACCGAACAACCATGATTTTACTATATACATGGCATATATAGGATTTTACATGCTTTATCATATATATCAAACCGTTTTGAAAGTGGTCAAACGGACTTCCAGGGTGAGTTTTTTTGCACGGCAGCTGTTGTTGCATGTCCCAGAAGCTCCTGTTGATGGGCCAAGCGATGGCTTGCCTGCAAAAATCTGCAGAACCTCTTCCAACAACCCAAACCAGACTTGTTAATTCAGAGATTAATCGGAGGCTAACTGGACCCACAGCTGGCTTTCTGGGCCTTTTGGACCCCCCTAGCCGTGCGGCTTCTCCGGTTCCGCCCGCCGTCACCGGCCTTCGCGGTTCCGGCTCCTGCCGTTCCACCGATCCAGGGCAGACACGAACCAACTCCATGGGACTTGGAATGGTTATAGATGAAAACCCCAATTGGCCCATGCCCCCCAAGACGTATATTCTCAGTATAAGGATCAATATTCCGGGATTCTGTAGATCGTAGAAGGATCGCTTGCTGCTTGGCCCCAAGTTCGGACCACGACGTCTTCCGAATTCCAAACGGCGATGTGCACGTAACCATGCGAGTGAGTTGAAAAGGCGATATTCTGCCCCAGCGATGTGAAGAAGGTTCCCGAACTCAGGTACCCTAGAGACATCCAAAGACTATTCTTTGTAACAGTCACTAGCAGTCTTTGATACTCAGGGGGATTCATTGGTAAAGATTTTGTGCACCTCACTTCACGTCTTGGCTAGACCTCAACACCATAATGCAGGTGGTGCAGTTGGTCACCCTTCAGTCAATCGGAAAGAACCTGACCAACCGCAGATCGATTTGAAAACACATTAAAACCGATCCTCTTCGGCCAAGACAAAACACTTCTCCTCTTCCCTCCGTCGCTGTGTGCGTCGCGGGTCCCGGGTCCAAGCGTCTTGCGAGCAAGACGCGACCGGTCACTGGTCTGGTGGAAGCAGTCCTCCCCTTTCTCAACTTAACATACTTAACTCTCGCGCCAACGAAACCAACACACAGCTCGAGAAGTCGCCAGACTCCGACTCCGAAACCCACGACCCGCTGGAAGGCCTCCTTTGCTCGGAGCTCCCGAGACGAGGACCTGGGCACCGTCTAAGCGCGCGGGCGGCCCCCCGTCCCCTTTTGGGGTGTCTAAAACAATCGCCTCACGAATCGCCTCACGAATAGGAAGGAAATCTTAGGATGGTGCAGGGGTGTCGAAAAAAGCCACCTGTTGGAAGGTCCTAATGGATGGGCCGTGACCCATCCGTTGGTCTCTCTGGTCCACCGTGTAGCCCGTGTTTCCAACCGACCGGTCCACCTGCCGGTCCACCTGCAGTCACGAGATGTTGGTGTCCAACACTCCACATCGGTCCACGCTGTTGGTGTCCATGAGCGAGGATAGGGTGCCTTGTGCGACCCATCCACGCTGTTGGTGCCACATGGGGACAGGGAAAACTTCTGAAAAACAGACCCACATGGAATTGCTGGTTTTGCCAACTTCTGGGACATGGAATTGCTGGTTTTGTGACCTGTCAATCAAATCGCAGTGTTGCCAACTCCTGACGAGGCAATCGTCAACAAGGAGGGAAACAAATATGGGTCTGTATTTTAGTAGGGGGTCAGCCAACCAATGGGTTTTGGTATTTTCCTTCTTCCTGGTGGTCTTTGGGAGGGCTCCCTATTAAAATACACACCCGTCTATCTGAACGGCTATCGGGCTGTGTTGCGCAACAGCGCCATAACAGCGACGCTCTCCACGGCTCTGCCCATTTTACGTCGCCAGATCCTCTGCCAGCGCTTGAAAGAAGCTTTGGTCGCTCTCCGGGCTGGCGCTGGGAATCTGTTGAAGCCCCTTGAAGCCCTGAAGACAGAAACCGCCGCAGGCATCAGAGTGGTGTGGGGAGGCAAGTTCGTTGGGATGTGAAGATGCCGAGCATGTTGATGGCGCTGACGGGGGTGACTGTGGATTCTTCCAAGGTACTGACAAAATCTAGATAAAATAATTCACAGACTCTGAAAGTCTTGAATCCTTTCCAACGATCGCACCTATTCTACTGCTATATGATGCTATATGGCCATTGATTTGCTCAAAGAATAATGGCACTGACCGGGGAAAACCAAGATCAATGCATTGAGGAAATTGTTCCTTGTTGTTCTCAAACGCGTTGTCCTCGCAAGCACTCACAACTATATGGTAGGAAGAAACCTTCTCCAAACATCGAGAATAACCGTGAGATGATTTGGTTTGCATGTTCAGGTTCATCAGGTTCATCAGGATATCTCAAATGAATCAACTGTTGGGCTGGCCCATCTGATCTTTGCCTATTAAGTCTTCTTAATTAGGTCGATCCTGTGTTAGAATCATCTGATATAGACTCTTAGGCTCTGGGCCACTCCCGTGTTAAAAGAGATCTACAGTAGCGACCTCAATCCTCTCGTGTGGGGAAACAGCAACTTCCTGAAAGACCCGACCTCCACACTGCCGCCCAGCAGAAACGCCAGGGGCTCGCAGCGCTTGGGGTCGCGAGCCACGGTGTCCGCCCAAGCATCCTGGCACGTGGGCAGCATGGGCTTCTTCCAGAAAGAAGCAGAAAGGGCCAAGGCTTCAGTGAGGATATTTCTGAATCTACTTGACCCGGTCAATTGTCCAATTTGAATGTATAGAGGATTGATTGATATCAAACACCCCCCATCTCCAGAATGGCTTTATCCAAGCTTCAGGTCTGTTCATTTCATCAACATGTCTCAACCATACTATCAACCATCTATTATATGACTGCTGTCTTTCGGACAAAAAGAACAGACAGAGTTCTGATGTGATATGCCTTGCCACCGCAACCAGCAAGTGAGTGCTTCAGAGCTCGGGCTGGGTGCCACTGCTGCGGGAAGGATGGATGTTACCACTGCTGCGTTCCCGATGCTTCCGCTCCCATGGCCTATGTCGTCCCTCGAGACGACCGTTGGACGGCGCACCGCACCTGGAGGGCTTGTGCGACGAGGCCTTCCGGCCGGTGCCAGCCATAGAAGAGGGCGACCTTGGACTGGAACAGGTCCCGGAAGAAGACGGAGATCGGCCTCAGTGGATGGGGCTGGGCGGGTTCCATGGAGAGTGGATGGGCTGAGTTCCGAATGCTTCGAGTTCCTTCCGGGTCCCCTGTTTTTCAATGGAAGAGACCACCCCGTGGCCGTCGCGACCCCATCCCCGACCGTCGTTCTCCAGCGATGATTCCAGCTATCTCCAATTGATTTCAGCTGATTTCATCCATGTCAGCCATGTTGGGCCGCAACCCCAGACACTCTGTATATATATATATATATGCATGTATATGCCGTTTTTGCGTGGCTTCAGAGGTCAATCTAGGCATTCATTCCATACATGGAGTGTATGGGAACACAAGTCTGTGCCCGATCTGGGCGCCCCTGGCCCCTCGCTGTCGGTGACCTTGGGAGCACAACCACACGACCACACATCCGGATGGAGATCAGATCTCCAGATTCGCATGATCAGTCCATGCAACTCATGTAGACTCTTGATTGTATTTAAACCCTTGCATGTGGATGGGGGTTTAGACTCTACAAATCACATCAAACTTGAACACCTTCAACTTATTCAACGCAAAGGGACTGCAGTCGCTGCTCACCTACTTCTTGTCAGCTATTTGATGTATCCTCGAATTGGAGACACACGTGCGTTCAGAACCATTCTTTGCGTCGCGCTGGCCTGTTTCTGTTGCTTTGGATGAATCTGCAATCAACAAATTGAATGCATGTGACTTCCTGCAGAAACCATGACAAATCCTTTAACTGAACATATAAAGACCTATGGTTGATAGACAGCCGCTCCACTGCAGCACCGTCGGGAGTGATCCTCTTAAGAACGAGCAGGAAATACTATAAGTAAAGGAAAACTTGTCCATCATATGCCTTCCTTCTGTCAGAATAGATGTCTTCACACAGTACCGGACACCTCTTGACTTTAACGACATGTATAGTATTGTTTTGAATGCGTAAAAAAAAAAAACTAGTGGATCCAGAATTGAAGGCATACTGTGGCATATGCATGATCGATCAAAAAGAACAAGTGACCCACAGCGACCCCCAAAAACCTTTCAGTTCAGGCACTATGTGATCCTCACGGCCAAGGCCTTCCAGCCTCACCACGGCCAATGCATCCGGGTCGAATTCCAAGCAAAGAGACTGAACAGTACCGACTTCGCGGGGTCAATGGTCGAAAGGTGCTCAGCCGAATCCTCTTTCACATCTTCACGAAGTTGCAGCCCAGCCAACACACACAGTTTACAACCCCCCCGACCTACACCATAGAGACCATCCAGTGGAGAACCCCCAGTTTCTCCCCCTTGACGGAAGCCGCAGAAACATGTTTTGCTGCCCATCCCACACGTTTTTTCAGCCGAAGCCCAGCTCCCTCGCCGAACGACGCCCCTTCGCGCCTGATCACTGGCCGGGCATCGCCGGGCGGCTTGTCTACACGAGGCTTGGACAGGACCGTCGCAAAGCCTCGCCACGATTTGGTTTGTTCCTTCCGCGCCCCGAGAGGCAGGTGAAACCGGTGAAAAATGTAACCGGAAAGAACTGAAGAAAAACTATGTATATACTTTACATATTACAGTAAATATAAATATATCTCTATATAATTCTATATATATATAATATATATTATATGTTCAGCCCCTCAACGCCCCCCGAAGATGACAACATACCTTCGAAATTCCAGATTTGCACATTCCCAGGAGGTACCCAGTCAACATTATGTTGAGGAACTGCAACTGCTTAGAAGACTGAATCAGTGCAGACTAGACATTGATTTTGTGGTTCCTCTCCAAGAAGATTGAATGTGCAAAGGTGGGTGGGAAGTGAAAGCAGCAAATGCAAGGCGCAGATTGCAGAAATGCATATCTGTGTGTGAGGTTGCATCTGTGCCATTGAAGGTTGTGTGCCATGGTTTGAGGGTTCATCTCTTTGGTCACCGCGCGAACTCTGGCCAACTCCTCGACTGTGGCCGGGCGAGCTCCTCCCCTTCGTCGGGGACGTGGCTAATTGCTGCAGGTCCCAGACTGGTAGAGGGTCAACACAAAGCAACTGCCTCTTTGCCAACAATACTTGAGCTTCGTGTCCTGGCCTTTCCAACATCCTTTGCATTTCTTGCGTTGGGCAAGCTGAACCACGTTCTGGCTTCTCTTGGTGACATATGGCTTGCAATTGCGTGGCTGCATTCAGAACTCATGAAGGTGTTCCCTCATGGCTGTGCTGTGCTGCCCTTTATTAATGAACGCACCTCTCGTGTCTTGACATTGCTTGCGCCATACAGAAAAAGGAGCAGCAGAAATCAAAGGCCATCAGACATAATGTCTCCTGAGACAAATCCCATAGCACGTCTCCGTTTGAATCTCCCTTTGATTGTCATGTGAAAGACGAGGTGGCAATAGCGTTATCAGTGACGCTTAGCGGAGGCGCGCTGTTTGCTAGTTGAGATTGATCGTCAAGCTCATTCCTGCAATTTTTATGCGGGCTTTGGCCCAACAGAGAAGCTTTGCGTTACCCTGCGCTGATTTGCACAAGGCAACAATTTTCAGAAGGCTTGCCCATTGCGCCGCATCCTCGCTGGCATCTCCGTCACGGCGAGAAAGGATAGGCGTTAAACTGGTTTGTTCCTAGTAAACTATGTGCTTGTTTGGCTTGCTTGGTTGTTGGATTGTTTATCACGCTTGCTTGTTGGATTGTTTATCATGCTCAGAATGCTTTCCTGCTCTCTTGTTGATGCCTGTGCCGCCCAAGAGCAAATGATCGCAAAGGCACGACAAAGTGAGGCTCGCACCTCTGACTCCCAGACAGGGCAAGTGGAGCTGCTGATGTTTTCTGAAACTGCCGGCCACTGGGCCATAGCAGGCCCCAGTCTTCTTCCACACTGTCCAATGCATATGTACGCTATTAAGACAATTTCTTCACCACTAAAAACTGCGCGTCGCTATTAAAATCTATGTTTTGCCATTAGCGAGTACCCTGAATATACCTGAGTAGGTGTGCATAAACAAGGCTCGTGGCCGATGCGCCACCCTGCAACTGTATGCACGGTTGATCTTTGTTCTTTTTGGGCCCGTGTTTTTGTGTATTTACAGCGCAGTAGATGTTTCTTAGAAGTGCACTTCTGGATGTATCAAATCTCATGCGCTTTGCTGCGTAGGACGCTTGCGTGGCGCGTGTCGCTACAGCGAAACGCATGCAACAAAGTTGTAAAATCTGTTGGTTGGTAATTAAGCACCTTTCATGGCCAGTTTAATTATATAGCCTGGTTTGTTAATTCTGGCGGTTCACCCGCTTGCATGGCCTAGCATGACAGCTGCATGCTGCTTTGGACACATAGTTTCACAAGTAGTTCAGGAAAGACCAGACCCGATACAGAAAAGGAGCGCTGCCTTTTACTTAGTCTATTCATTCTCTTCCAAAAGCTTCATGTCTAAGGGTCTGTGTGGTATAAGTTTGTAGAGTCTCTGCCCATGTCATCCAGGATAGCCATGTCACCCGGACCTATGTCATGAATGAAAACATATTTCCGAGACCCCTGTGAGGGGCCCGTGTCATCTGTACTCAGTATAACATACAGTGTATCGCGACGATGGAACTTTTGACGGACTTTTGAGTCGATGGACATGTCGTCGGTGGGTGCAAACTCTCTACACTGACGAAAAGCCGCGGTGAACTCACGCTGTCAAGGACGGTGACGTAACCTTCACCATGTCAAGGGTGAGTCACGAAGCTTCCACGTGCTCGCCAGCAGGGCCCTCCGGACGGGACGTCCCCGGTCAAACGGAAGACGGCGCGAGCGGCGCCTCCGAAGTTCTTCCCCACGCAGTGCGGGAAGAAGTCTTCGAAGTCGCCGCTCCAGTCTCAGCGAGAAACCGAGAAACTGGGAGAAGCGCGGGAAGTGCTTCCAGGCTGCCGGGTGGAGGCAAACGTTGCTTGAGAGAGGTGCCACCCGAACCCATGAGGCGGTGTTTCGTCGTACAAACCTGCAGTATCCTGGTACGGTGCAGGAATATAGGCCCGATTCACCTACACATGGAGGTCAATCATTCTGCCACACATGGTGTGTCCGCAGGGTCTCCTTTTCGCTCGTCGTGTCGTCCAAACAGGTCCGAGTTGACGAAGCGGGCCCGGTCGACGAAGCGGGCCCCTTGAAGCGACGGATATCGGTTGGGGCGGTGAGGTGGAGCTCCGGATTCTATGCCCGTGGATTGGTGAGGTGGAGACCGGACCGTTCTGCTCTGGGCGGGTTCTGCAGGGAGAGGTGTTTCTCCTCCTCAGAGGCCCTGGGACCAACCCGGTCACGTCCGGACGCGGACCCAGGAGCCCTCCGTGAGGATGGCAGTGAAGGGCACTTCGGAGAAGAGCTCCAACAGCTCTCGAGATACCTGAGAAAGCGCGAGAGCTAAGGAGAGAGGGTGTCTAACCCTAGGGATCCAGTATATACCTTCTCAGAAGGTACTGGACCCTCCTGGCACCCACATAACAGTGTCTCCAATCACCGTACCTCAGAAGGTACTTGGATCAATAGGGTAAGGAGGCGGAAGGCACATGGGGGTGTAGTATAGGACCTAGGAAGACGGTTTTGGTCTATTTTCTAGTTTCCTTCTTCCAAAGGGTCCTTTGAGGTCTCCCTACTTTAATGCACACCCACATGAGAAAACGAAACCAAGTGCAAAGATCTGAGAGATATTGATATCATTTGATATCCGGGTTAACTGGAACAGATCTGATCTCCTGTAGGGGGTCCAGAATGCTAACCAGTCGTGGAGAGTGCGTTTCATATTTCAAGACTTGATGGGCACGAAGATTGATCAACTGAGGCTTAAAGCTTATTATAATAAAAAACAAAACACATGCAATCAGGTTTGCTTGGCCCCATCCCAAGTTCTCCAACCTGCCAATTCCGCCCATGCTTGTTTTCCATTTCTGTTCCATCATCCGTGCTCAAATGGTGGTGCCTTGTGCTTGCCTTCAATTCCACTTCCCCTTCCCCCAAAAAATAAAGAAACCAAAAGTTCCGCCCGACTCCACCCCCTCACCGGCCGATCCGCCCCCCTTGCCGCCGTCTCCCCATCCTTCAAAGGCACGGGGTGGTCGGCGAAGTGTGGCCCGAGGAGCAAGACCGACTCCAGGCGCTTCAAGGCTTCGAGCAAGCGCTCGGGCCTGGTGATGGGAAGCAGCGCACATACGACGAAAACCAGCAAACCCGGATGCTGGAAAACGACCCTCATCTCAGTACGGCTAAAATCCCAAAAGAGGTTGAACCATGTTGAACAGACCTTTTGTCGCCCATCTCAATATGTACCACCAAGAAAGGTCCTAGTTCAGGTCTCTCAACCTCTCTTGGTCACGGTGACAGCACATCCGATGTCAACAACCTCTTCCGCCTCGCGTCTTCGTCGCGTCGTGCGCGTGGTGCGCGTGCGGGTGACACGACAGGACACACTGAAATGGGTCGTTGGTTCAGATGACTGAAGGAGTTCCAGGTCGGGGTGCGGAGGTTACGGGTGCTTGCTGGTAGCCCCCCCCCCTCACACTACTTCTCACTTATGGGTCTTGATTGGAGACGGTTCAGCAGAGCGTGGGATTCCATGCCAGCTTAGTTTTCTTGGATTTGCTTAATAAGGGATTATAAATGTATAGTGTCTTCCCATGCCAGATGCCAGGCGATTTTGACATGACCATCAATGATTGGTAAGACAAAAGTCCTTACTGAAAGACCCACCATCATAAGAACTCATGTTCACGATACATCGCGTTTGTTGTTGTTGTTGTTGCTGCCGCGGCTGCTGCTGCTGCTGCTGCTGGTGGTGGTGGTGGTGTTGTCGTTGTCGTTGTCGTTGTCGTTGTCGTTGTCGTTGTCGTTGTCGTTGTCGTTGTCGTTGTCGTTGTTGTTGTTGTTGTTGTTGTTGTTGTTAAACAATTAGTGAGAACTACTGAACACGGCTGCTACCATCCATTTCCCAACAGCTGAACAGCTGTGCTTTTTTCGCGCCTCGCTGGCGCGGCAGCCGTCGCACGCGGTGTCAGAGCCCTCCGCCGCAATGCGGCGCGCGCCGCGGCGCGGGCAGCGGTCGCGAGGAGTGCGAGGACTGCGAGGAGCGGCCAAAACCTGCAAGAAAACCAGCAAAAAATAGCGATGCTTTTTGATCCAAAACGGTTGTTGAATCGCTGCCCAAAAGTACTCCACCAGGGGGCGTCACGAACTGGTCTGTATGCCCCAACGTGTCTGGAAACATGAAGATTTGTGCGGTCCTTTGTCTAGATCATGAGTCATGTCGTCATTTGGGACGCTGAGCTCACGTCTCCAGGAAGGCCAAAATGATCTTTGTTCCCCAACTGGCTCCGGCTAGGGGTCAAAAGTGGGGGACCTTGGTCTCATCAAGATGCACAAATTAAGGGATGTCAACCTCCAGCACCATGGATTCCGGGCGTCCATTCATAGCCCCAAAACGAGGTCAAGGGCTGTCCAAACCACCCTGGTGGCTGCGTCTGATCGCCAGCGCCTCGCGTACTTCGCAAGGCCCCGGTTCCTCCACCAAGCAAGCGCAAGGCTCAGGCGGCTCAGGCGTCCCATAGCGGCAGGCCCAGAGTGGCGAAAGACTTGCAGTCTGAAGTTGTGTTGATGTATATTGATGTGTTTCTGGCTGATGGTTTCAACTAGTTAACAAGAACATCGGTTGTGGCTTCAATCCATCCGCCAGTATACAGGTTGAATGAAGCTCTTTGAATCTCTGAAACCACCACCCCGGTTTTTTCAGACCTTCCGTTGGACCTCTGGGGGAGACTTCCAGGAGCTCGGAGCCTTTCGGTTTCACTGCAGTCGGTGGAGTAGGATGAGGTAAGATACAATCCGACCTCTTGGCCAACGGTGACCGCGGGCGGTTGTGCGACACGCCACGTACATGTGTGACATGTGTGACATGTGTAGCGGTGACATTTTTTCGTGATCGATCATGTGGATTTGAAGTGGCTCATCCTGCCTAAGTGGTGCAAATGACGCACCCTGAGGCTTTCTGATGCTTCTTCTTCCCCTCCTCGTATGCTTCATTGACACTACGCAGCGGCTCCGAGCTGCTGATGGAGCAAAACCTCCTTGCGGCCACAGCTCACAGGTGCGACTCGCGCAGGATCCTAATGCTTCCTTTGTGACCAAGTTTTACTCGTCATTCCTTGGTTCTGACCACCCCAAATCCCACAGCCACTCAAGTACTCCATGGCAGACCTCCATGGCAGACCTGGACGCTTGAATGAAAGTCTCCCATCAAGTTCCTTCGCGTTCCAGACATTTGGAGAATGAAGATCACCGATTGGATCTGATCCAATATTGAGATTAAGCCTTGCCAATGGCCAACCCATGAAGCGAAGCAGGGGCACAAGCAGGTATACCTCGTGTCTGAGTCCAAAAACAAACTCGCTAGATGAGACTAGCGAAACCAAAATGCACAGAACAAGGTTGGAACCTTCACTTCACACATGGGAAATCATGGGAAATTGAAATTTGCTTGTTCTCATGATGACTTTGGGTGCCTCTTAAACGATATATCGTTGAAGTGTCGGCCGCAAGGCACCAATGGACTCAATATGAAAAACTGCCACGAAGCAGCCTCTGCACCAATGCTTCGTTTGAGACATTGCGCCCTCAATTGAACACGTCTCCGAAACAGAAAAACATGGAAACAAATCATGTCTTTCTCATCTCGAAAGAAGTCCTCCCAAAACACCTCTCAACTCCGACTCCTGGCTTCCCTGCGGCGGCCGCCGGAGACGTTCCAAGGCCGGTGCGGAAGCACCTCGCCCACGTCCGGTGCTCGGGCGCTCGCGACGGCCCCACGTCCGTGGCCACAGGTGCCCAACGCTTGACCGTCGCGGGAAAGACCGGCCGCGAAGAAGGTGACACGTCGGTATGGCATTATGGTCAACCGTGACACGTGGGTCTTTGGCCCACTCACAGCTGGTTCATGGATGGCCGTTTGTCTTCCCACCCAATGGGTCGTGAACAAACTGGATCCACCGGCTGCCGCATGTCATGGGATCAGTATCCACTAGAAGTTCTAGAAGTGGATACCTGACATAGAAACTAAACACTGAGAGGAGGCCTCCAGAAGACGAAGAGATGTTGATAGTTTGCGTGTATCCTATTCCGTGTAACAGTGGATGATGATGGTCAGGTTGCAGGCCTTTCCCTAAAATAGTGATTTGCTTGTTAAACGACCGTTACAGGTAATATGACACCCCCAATTGATATATAGTACTTTATAGTGATGATGCAGATGCATTGGGTCATGGCCGCTGTGGCTGCACTCAGGGCCCCGCTCAGCGGTATTCTCGCCGATGGTGGTGCTACCTGACCAAGCGGTAGAGGCACAGAGGCGAAACTATGATCGCTGTTCTTCCAGCAGTCACGTTCGACGGGGTGCGATCCATGGAGGTAGTCGGGGTGACCCTGTCACATCCACTCACGTAAGGGGACGAGCCACACCACCCCGTCTTAGGTGACTCCTGGTTCATCGTTCTTTCATGACATGGGTGGATGCAACTGGATGCAACTGGGAGGTTACCGGAAACAAATACAAAGCCCGGCAGTAATTACATGCCAAGTCTTTAGAATCTTGCCAAGTCTTTAGAATCTTTGAATAGTATTGGACGTGGGTTGAAACTAGACCAATTGTTCGACGTTCTCTTCATTTGTGCTAAAACTGCTGAGCAACCTGACCACATGAGCGTCCCGAGTGGGGCTAATCAATTTTGCAGATTCCAGGCCAATCTCTCATCCCGCACGAGTGAACTAGAGCGGACATAAAAACAAATAAACACCTATCTCAAGGCAAAGGATCGACCATCCATGGGATTGGACTCTATGCCACAGAAAGACCCCTCCTTTTCAACCACTCAAGAGGCCTTTGATCGGCCAAAATCTCTCACAGTAGCTCCAGTCCTTGAAACCCAGTCCTTGCGGCTCACCTCCCTCCCCCGCTACTTCCGACGTCCCGGGACGGTCCGACCACTCCAGTCCATCCGTCCCGAGGCGAAGAAGGGGACGGTCCGGCCTGCCACTTGTCCATATGATCCCTTGGAATGTACCTGGATCCGATGCCACGCGCTGCCGCGTAGAACACGCGCTGCCGCGTTCTACGCGCTGCGCGCGCTGGGCTCGGCTCCTGATACGTCAAGTGAATCGAGGACCGTGTGGAAGAAGGTTTTATGTGGGGACAGGCTATCAACCTTGTTGCTGGCGGGGTTACTTGTTTTTGGTTAATTTGTGTGAATGTGTGAACATTCGGGATTCTGATGTCTCCAACAAAACTCAAAAACTGGCTCCAAAGATGAGTGCTAAGGAGGGGCGGGGATGCAGAGTACAAAGGGAACAACTTGTCACAAAGATTGCCAGCAATCACTGGGGATTCCACGCTTCCCGGAAAACAGGCAAAGAATAAGTCCCCTCACCTTCACACACCCACCATTATGGTCATCTATACCTATATACCATATCAGTTTGTTGCGCGCACTCTGTCCTATACCTGCTCAGAATATATCTCTTAGATGCTGGACAAAATTGACTGATGATTCATCAAGCACCTAAAACAAGAGATCCTCAACGATTCAAGAACCAATCTCAACATATATAGTCGACCCCCAAATATTCCAAATAAATAGAAAAGTCGATCCATACTCAGAATGCCATTGGACATCGTGCCACTCTTTGGGCCACGAGAACTCCGCTAACAGGGCTCCAGTGATCGACCGATGCGGCGTACTCCAACATGGGTGGCGGAGCGGCCTGGCTCGAGCCGAGGGCTCGGCACGGGTCGAGCCGCAGGGGTGGAGGAAGCGAGCTGGACCTGGAGGTAGATCATACCACACGACTTTGAAAAGGACCAGGTTTGGACCAGACTGGACCTTTGGGGATAGAGTCCACACAATCAGCTACAACCCAATCAAAGCCGACCAACATGGTCCACAACTCGCACTCTGCGAGTCATGTGAAATGATTCGGTGGGCCACGGCAAGTGGTGGCCAGGGGCGTCAGACGAACCTCTCGTCCGAGCGACGTTCGATGGAAGCAAACCCTGTGAAGTCCTGAACACCCGCATGGCGGCCCTGACATGCAGGACACCTCTAGATCTGGTACTTTTCGGAGAGCTGAAATGCATCCACCTATAGTGCCACCTACCAGATCCATCCAGGTCCTACTATACCATCAGACTTGAAACTTGAAATTTGGAGGTCTGTCTCAGCTACACGTTTTCACTCAGACCTTCAGAACCGAGTCTGAACGTTTCAACACCTTTGATCTGTCCCAAAGAGTGATTTGTCCAATGAATCCAATGAGTCTGATGAACAGGCTTTATATATCTTTCTTCCCATCCCCAAATGAGAAAATTAGAACACTTGGACATATAAAACATTATAAAACCATGATTAATCAATTTAGATCATGAGGGTCTGAAAAGCCGAAACCCAGGCCTCCAACCCCCGCAACCGGCCAGGAACTGGCCCACGGCCGGGCCTTGGCGCGGTTTTTCGCCCGCTTCTTGGGGTCTGGCAGGCTGCCGCCCGTCTTGGACTTGCTTAACTGCGCAGGGCGTGTTCGCGGGAACATCGCGGGTCGGTCGGCGGATGGCGAGTTTCATGGCTGGCAGTCAAAACTAAAGGGGTGGTAAGAAAACGGACGTTCTGGTCAATAACTGTTTCTCACATCTAACTTTCCAAGGGACTTTCCGTTGATGTTTGTTAAGTCGGCACGGTCTCGGGAAGCTGTCGATACTTCGGGATTGCGGTGGACTTGGTGTTCATTAACTGCAACAAGTACTCAACAGGGTCTGCAAAAAGGGTCGTACAAACAAATGATTAACTATATATAAAGCATGTGGGGTTCGGGTGCATCAAGTATCGCTGGTTTCAAGATGTTTCAAGATAACATAAGATAACAAAGCCAAGTCGTGCTTTGGAACGCCCATCACAAGTACAACAGTACCCAGACACGACACATGGGACTGTCATAGGACTGCCGCCCCAGAAAGACCCCCCAGTCAACCACCCCAACTGATCGGCATATATTATGGGAGTCCCATGGAGTGTTTGGGGTATGTACCAGTGCAATATATGTCACGTGAGATTCCAAGACCATTCAACCCAGCTTTGCCTGAGGCAAAGAAGCCCCGAAAACACTTGGAATTTCGGGGTAAACCAGAAAAATAAACACATGGGACAAAACATGACAAAAACACTCAACATGCATATCTCAGAAACTTCTTCTCTTCTTTGTGTCTTGGGGCCGTGCACTTCAATCACAGGCGTTGCCCTTAAAGAAACAAACCAAACAACTCAACATGCTCATCCACTATATGGCCATGCCCATCCACCAGCGCAGCGGGCCAAAACCACCAGGTACCACCCGTACCCACCCAGCCCACCCCCAGCCCACCCGCCTTCTTGTTCAGCGCTGCCAAGTTCCCCGGGCCGCCCAAGCCCACCGGAGGGCCGCCCACGGCCGGGGCCGCAGGCGCAGCTGGCGGGAAGACTCGTGAGTCGATGGTCGAAGTCTGAAGAACCGGTGGTTCTGAAGCCAGGTGGCAAGGTGCTTAAACCATGTGTTGAAGGTAAAACCTTTGGAGTTCGAGATCATGTAGACTCTGGATGATATTTCAACGACCTTATGAAGAGGTGTTAACATGCTAAATGGGAGGTGCTGATTCTAGTCTACAAGAACTTCCTTCCCCCACGCCATCGATACTGTTCGTGATCCAAAGGACATGGCTCCACATGGTTCCCGGGCAAGCTCGCAGCTCTGCAGAAAACATGATCCCGGTTCAGAAGAGCGTGGGATGCCATACCAGCTTGGTTTTCTGGGAGTTGTTTGTTTTAATGGAGGACCAAAAAAAACAGGAAACATGTTCCTCATGCCAGGGGATTTGCAGAACATACACCATCCCGTTCACCCAAACCCACGCTTTTTGGATCGTTTCTGGATCCGTCTCTACGGAGCTGGCGTCGGATTCCTTCAAGTCCTTGGAGATGGCCCCTCTTCCCTCCGCGGCGCAGCACGACCGCGGTACGGCTTCAACGCGGTAAACGCATGGCACCTGAGGGCTTCTCGAGTGGCACGGAGCTGACATCAGGCACCGCCTCCAGCAGTACATGTCAGTGATTCGAAGAGAGGGGAAACATGATTATAATTGACTGTACTCTGGGTGTCCTGGCGTTCGACTACCCTACCCTACGTAAACAGGTCTCCAAACAGGGCACCCGTTGGAAGTGCTAGGTATGTGTGTCAGGTGTTTATTAGTTGGGCAGAGTTGCAGTTGATGGAACTCTGTCTAAAGAAGCGTCCTACTTGAGTCTCTCTGGTAATTAGTAGTCAGTAGTCACCCCAAAGCTGTGCTTTTGCGGACAGAAGCACCTCCCTAGCCAATGGTCAATATATTGTTAGCATTTCATGTTCTGGAAGTGTCCAAGATGTCCTCTATTCCCTATGGATCTTCCCTATGGTCTTCCCTATGGATCTTCCCTATGAGACATTGGTCTTACCTATGGATCCACATGTCGCTTCTCCCCGAAGCTTCGCGTCCTATGGATCCCACTTAGGGCCCTCCTACATGGTCCTAGGGGATCCATAGGGCATGTTTGGATCCTTCTTTTGGGTCGATTCACAACAGCCTTTCCGAAGGAGTCACAAAAAAAAAAAACCTCTGTTGAACAACGGATGCTGAAAACACATCACAGGTCGTTGAAGCCCCTTCGCCGCGGTGGATCTACTGGGCCCCGCCCAAGAGAATGGTCGGACGGGAGAATTGGTGCTTCACTTTCCGACTCGATCGACTGGTGAATTGGGGTGGGGGTAGGTAGTGGAATGTGGCATGGCATGTATATACTCCCCACCAGCCAGGGATTTCGGCACATGGGATTTCAGCACCTGACCGTCGTCCTGGGCGCCGGTCGAAGCTCAAGGTGTTGGGAGTTCATTCCCAACACATCCGACCCTCTGCTTGGTCCGATACCTTCATGAGATGACGAAGGAGCCAGGCTTCAACATGAAAGGCGCTCCAACTGACCATCCGCAACTGCCACCCAGGTCAGCCAAGTATATATAGATCACTCAAGGAATGCAAGGTCGTGGGAAACCAGCATCTGAGAGGTGGCATGGAACTCGAATGAATTGATCTGTCGTAAGAATCTGGGCTGAAATGCAAATGGCTTTGAGGGTCGGCACCCAATGCAGGGTCCAAGGATTCTTTTTCTGCCAATTTCGTCGCCGCAACGGCAAGCGTCGGACCTATAGCCAATTGCCATTGTCACTCTCATCTGGTCCTCTTACTGGGAGACTTGTAACTTCTAAGTGACGGTCCCCTTCGACCGTGAAAAATGGGCAAATCACAGCCCAGTTGGCTGGCAGCCTGGGCCCAACTCCCTCGCTGACGGACTTTCACAAGAAGGCTTGGCTTGTCAAACGACTTCCGCCCAACGACCAAGGTTCAGGCCCTATGACCAAGGTTGAGGCCCTACGACCAAGGTTTAGACCCTATGACCTTTGAGCCCCAACATGAACGGTTCAGGTCTAAGCAGAAAAAACGAACCCCTCATCCCAAAGCTTAGCTACCGCCACTTCGGTCGAAACGATCTCCGAACGAGCCTAGGTTGTCCCTGGTAGGTGGACATCCCGTCCTCTATTCCGGTCATTCTCTGTGGGCTGGCTGGGGACCCGGTCGGCCCGAAACCAGGTCAACCATTCTTTTTTGGATCATGGTCAAAACCCCTTCAAAACCCAGGTCTTCTACCCCAAACCGCTCCCTAGGACCCCAATAGGACTGCCGCCCCAGAGGTCGACCTCCAGGAAGACCACCCCTGGCTTTTTCTCGGCCGTCCGGACTGGCAGTCCGGACTGAGTATGTATCTACCAGCTTCGAAACGGACGTCGCCCGGGGCGCCCGGTTCGGGCGCCTTTTGCGGCGGCCGCTGGGGGGCCTGCTGCTTCGTCCAGGGGTGCTCCGACCTGCTCAGGATCGAGATGGGCAAAGCACGGTCCAATAGAAGCATCCTTTTGGGGGATGTCCATGGAGATCCCCTCAAGACATCTGGAGGTGTTTGGATTATATTTCTGTAGCCCTTGTACGAGTGGCATACAAGTTCTTTTCCTTTGCGTATGTGTCGCAGTCAGGTGGAGTCGCATGGGCGGGTATGACAAAACCCAGTCGGGGTGTGGAAAAGTTACATTGGTTTCAGAGTAGATGGCGCAGACCTCTATGTCATTTAGAAGGGGGTCCATATAAGCCACCTATCGGGGATTGTGCCATCTGCTCCCAATCCACTATAGCTGGGACCAGTTGTGGACACACCTCGCAACGAGTATAGCCGCTTGGAGCGATGCGAGTGTTTTTGAAAGGAGGTGCGAGGTGTGGAAAATACAGAAGCTCCGAAAACCAGAAGGTCCTCCTGTTGCAAGTGATGCAGATGATTGCAAATGTACTTTTGACTCAATGACCCTCCAGAACCCATTTTGTTCACCATACACTTGCATACACTGACCATTCATCTTCTTGTGCTCTTCTGGTCTTTATCAAACATCCAAACCAGTCTCTTCCCAGGTCCGGTCTCGCCACCCAAAACACCCGCTAACCAACCGCTCTCGCCACGTCACGGACCCCCACCTCGATGCTGCGGTCTCCAAAAAAGGATCGGCATCTGCATGGCTCAGAGTCTGATCGACCTGAGGCGCGGAGCGGCGCGGAGCAGGTCGATCTGACCGCGAGGGCCGCGGCGAGGAAGGCGGGTTGGAAGGCGGGTTGGAAGGGATGTGCACCGAGGTTCCGATTCGTTCCTGGATGACACACACACACATATGTATATATATATATATTGGGGTATAGTATATATATATATATATATTGGGGTATAGTATAAGTTTAAAGGAAACATCAAGAAAAGTATCATTGGTAATGTCCCGAAGTCATGTTATCGTGTTGGTGTTACTCTTATCGTTTTCTGGACCAGCAATGCATTATTATAGTACGTGTTGAGGTGCATGCCAATACTAAAATGATGAGCGCGGGGTCTATTACACTATAGCCCATATTAGGCCGTCTGTTAAGATCTATACCCTACCCCTGCAATGTCCGAAAATGGATGGCATGGATGATGAACATGCCCCCCCCCTGAAAGACAATTTTCCGAATACCACGGCTCTGGGCGCTCCTCCACTTCCAGGTGCAGTTGGAGGGAGGGTAATTGTCTACGTCTACAGATCTTGGAGAGTAACAAACCCACTTGAATCGCTCTCTACCTTCAAGCGCCTTAGTCTACCATCAAGCTCTCCATCCACCTTGGTCACCTCATCCAGCACCCCCCCCTACCCCGGGCCCTACCCAGTGAAGACCTTTACTCCCCTGGTGGTTACCACGATACCACCACCATTCGCGACCGCCGCTCGGCCACACCACACCGGCGCTCGGGGTGCCACGGTGAAATCCACCTCCTTGGCCAACTGGGACTTCTCCAACTGAGCGAAGGCCGTCGAATCGCCGTCGAATCGCCCGCTTCGTCAAGTCGTGGACGGTTGGGGCTTTCCGCGTCGGCCACACGGTCAGATCGGGGCCACGAGTAGTTGACGGGTCGAGTGACGGGGAGACCGTGGAGATCTCAACGGTGTGGGCATCGAAATGGGCGGTGAAATCAACATGTTGGAAGAACATCGTCAGGATGCCGCTGTTGACGGCATCTCTTAGCTTAGCTTTTCGTCAGCCCCGTGAGGCCCCGTGGGCCCAACTAGCTTTGGCTTTCTGTCGCCGACTCGCGCCGCGGCGCGCCGCGCCTGCTCTCCGATGTGCAAAGTCATCCGGAGCTGGTTCCCGCTGTGGACATTGATCGCCTCAGGCGTTCACGCGACGCAGTACGCGCCGTCGAAAGGGCTGAACATGGCTTTAACCGGGGATGGACGTGAACAACCTTGAACATATCTATATTTACAAAGACTATACTTTCATATACTTTCTCCCACTGAAGTAAAGGAAGTTCCTGTTAGAGTCACCTTTCAAGACCATTCTTATAGTCTTGGACTCTCTCAATCCTGCGTTCTCTGCGTTCTGCCTGCGTTCCCTCGTCTGGGGCCACCCAACTCCGTCCGCGCTCTTGATCACTCCAGTGATGCCATCCATGTCCCTCAACTGCTCCTGCCAGCGCTGCAGACGGGAGCGAGCGAGCGAGCGTCAAGCTTCACTGCTCTCGGTGCAGCGCCAGACTGCCCAGACTGCAGCAAGTCTGGTCTGTGGTTTTCCATGGTGGTGTTCTCCCCCACGCACGGTCTGGCACCGGGGGAAAATAGGGAAGTTCCCCTTTCAAACGACTGGAGTGGTTGAGGGTGGCATAGGGATGCAAGTGCCCAGCGGACTGTTCACCATAAAACCATATAAAACCTGTCCCTGTCAGTGGTATGAACTTCCTGCTTGCAGCCCATCTTCGTGCGGGCCGTTTTCCTTTTGGAGCCTCCGCTCCCTAAAGAAAAACGGAGGTCCGACCCCAAACGACCCCTAAAGGATTGCTTCCTTGGCCATGCGTCAAACGGTGTCCAGTCAGTCACAGGGATCACGGAGGACCGCCGAGTCCTCGGCACTGGCCACGCCCAGTGCCGCCGAACTGGTTTTTTCTGAAATAAGCTTTGGGTCTTTTGGGCGCAATGCTTTACAGGTGTTGGTATCAGATGTCAATCTTTCTTGTTACAGAATTGGTACAGAATTTACAGACCAGAGTTGAATATTTAAGTATGTTGTTGGTCTTGCTACCGAATTTCATCCAACGCGTCGTAGTCAGTTGGTGTCGCAGCTCAGCTACAGTAGGCAAGGTCGTGCACCGCCCAACTGAGCCTTTGAGCGAGTCTTTGAGCTGTCCCTGTGAGCACAACTGAGTGTCACGTGAGCTTATTGACGGAACAGTACAGCTTGTTGGATTGTTATTGGATGGAGTTCCATCCACCGGACAATCACAAGTGTGTGTTCTTTGTTTTAAAAAAATAGAATAACACACTTTGTTATATTGGATGTGTTACATTGTACCAGTACAGGTCTTTTCCACTCCTTCGTCCGACCCTTCGGGCGTTCCATACCACCAGGTCTTCCATCCCCCTTCATCCGTCGTCCTCGATGCGCTTGACGCCTTCGATCGAGAAGCAGTTCCTGGCGCAGGCACTGGAGGCCAAACATCGAAAACGGATGCCTTGTAAGAGAGGTGAAGTGACCCTCAATCGGACCCGGAACACCTGGATTCACCTGGGGTACCCAACTGGGATAGTCGAACGTTCGGGTTCTGACCCACCTCGGTCCATGGTTGGTTCAAAACCATGGCACAGAGATGCACAGAGTGCCTGCTTGGGCACGGTATCTTCTTAAGTTTCTGGATGACCCAGGTGGGTCAAGCCAGTACGCAAAAAAGATTGGAGTCACGGTGGGGCCAATTCGGGGGTTCTGATTAGTGTATGTCACCTTATGGTATTCTCCACCTTCAGCTTTGGCAAAAAAACCCTCGGGAGCCTCATGTGACGGCGAGAACATTCTGCGACTTACTTGAACGTCGGTATGTTTCTCACTCTGGCCAAACTAGAGATAGTAGTAGCGGAATTGAAAAGTAGATGTCCATAGATGTCCACTCAGTGTGGTGCTTAGCGGTGTCAATAGTGCCAAATATGAGCAAATGTCGATGTCCTACAACGAATCGAATCCTACATCTTTGGGGATGTCCAATGAAACTAAAAACTGTTTCGTGCCTGATCAAAATGCCCTGTGGTCAGGAACTGACCTACTGCGCGAAGAAGCGCGCTAATGCACCTTCGCACGCTGCAGAGCCTGCCTTCTCAGGTCAAAGGACCTCATGTAGGGCAACTGGAAGATCAGCTGCAAAATGATGTTCACCGCATCCTGGCGCAGTTGAAGACCACCGGGGCAGCTGAAGACAGGACAAGAGAGGGTCCCATCGCTTCCAATTTGGGGTCCCATCACTTCCTTTGGGTTGCATGAGTTGCAGTTGAGTTGGGAGGTCGGTGAATTAGATATTGAGTTACATGAGTTGCACTTGAGTTGCTTTATTGAGTAACTCAAGTGCAACTCTAGTAACTCACCGGCTGCATATATTGAGTTCGTTGCACCAATCCGACTGTATTTGCTCAATGCGATCGGTGCGTTCCGAGCGTTCCCGGAGAATCCTTGTCAGGTACAGTACTTCGCACAGTCTGGACCTCCAAAGGCAATCCCAGCTTTTTTCGGATGATATCATTCAGGTTCAGTAGAACGCACAAAGCAAAAAAACGCCAACGTTTGAAGTGGTGAATGTCTTGGCCAATGCGGAACATGCTCACAGAAAGGCATTGTTGCCCACCAGGAACGTCCAAGTTCGCACCTAACCACCATTTGTCGGACACTGTTAGAAGAAGCCAGTCAATAGTCGTGTACATGTGTTTGATTCCTTCATATCCGTGATCCTGCCAACAGGCCAATCTTGAAAAACGGGCAGGTGGAGTTGTGAGCTTGCATCCTCACTTGTGGTAAGGCTCTAGGTACACCTCCGGGGTGATTCATCCAACGTCCCGGTCCAGGTACCAACAGCGTCTCAATCAATGGATGAAAAGAAAGCAAAGGGCCTTCTTTTTTGCCCACAATACACCCCGGAAGCTGACATGGAACCCAAAGCACACTGGTTGCCCGGTAGGTCTTGGTTTTCTATGTTTTGGGGTGGGCATCCGTCTTGGTAGGGGCTGGTATGGGGCTTTTCGTCGAAGCAGTGCTGGCTGCTGCGTCGTGCCAGCTGTCAAACACGCTGAGGGCGGCATCGTCTAGGCCGTTGTCAATGAGACTCAGCACATAGACCTGCACACCAGAAATGAATCGAGCTGCAAGTGGAGACCCTGCAACTGAGCTGCAACGTTGAACCTGGTCTTCAAAAAAAGCCTTGGCCGGGAGTCTCGGATCTCCTTAGTGGAGTTCATCATAGTTCCAACTAAGGAGACCGAATTCTCATTTCCATAGTTCATCATAGGTCCATCATAGTTCATCATAGTCTCATTTCCTTTTTTTTCTGTGACCCAATTCTCATCCAACTCGGACCACGGGGTACGGTGGGGACTGGCCATCCGCTTGAGCGAGAAGAGCCGCGACAAAACCTGCCTGCTCGAAGCACTCATAGCGCTGGAAGAGACCAAGCATCTCCTTGATCTCTCGCATGCCAAAGCTAAGGCCTCGGACAAATTATATATATATACAGTATAACGTTGTCATAAACATAAGCCTTCATTAAAAGGTGCAAGTTCTGCACAAACCAAGTGAATCTCCAAACAGTTTGCCACACTGACCTGGCATGAGCTGGCAAAGAGTCGAAAAAGCCAAACACCTGGTGAATCAAATCCAAGGTTCTCCGGAATACAATTTGTATCAATTTGTTCACCTAGTGCGGGATGCCCTCCTGAATTTCCCTCCAAATATCCTTCTCTGTACTTCAACGTGGTCGAAGCAGCCTTCCAAGTCCCAACAGGAAATTGGATCAAAGATGACGAAAGTGGAGTGGAGACAATGAGGACTCGCGTCTTCTTCCAGCAAGGAGAACAAGGAGAACTAGCTGTAGCAACTGGATTGAAGGAAGCAAGCGAGGATGATTCATGGAAACTCCGACCCAGGAAATATCCGACCCGAGCCAAACCTTCTTTGTTCGACCGTCCACTCGTCCGACGGCCAACAAATCCCTCTGAGCAGGACGACCATCTAAGTGGAGGTCATGTATTCGATCTCCCTCCGCCATGTTCATGACATACCTCGATCGGCACCGAAGCTGTGCGACCGAGACCTTCGGTCTGCTGTGCGAGTCCGTGGAGGGGTGTGGAGCTGTGTTGAAACCTGTTTTGCATGTCATCACATGAAATATATTCCAATTACCTGCCTACTTGAAGTTTGGGGTTCTAGGATTCTAGCATGAAATGCGAATATATATATATATATTATATATATATACCTGAATACACAGTTAGGCAGGCCCAAGATGGCCCAAGAGGGCCATCCCATCTGGCACAGCCCAGCCATGGCTGGGTCGGTGTTGGCCGGGATCATCGATTGGCCCTTCTCCGGCAGAGTGAAGAAGTGATGTCACGGGTCGGGTTGGGTCGATATGTCTCATGGGCTTCGGGTCACAAGGATCGGATACCTTCTCACGTCTGCACCACGCGTCGCAGCGACGCAGCAAAGGAACACAGTGGCTGCTACAGGTTTGGAAGAGGTTTCAGCGTTTGAAAGCCCTCAGCCCTCCAGCACCGTTTCTCAGTGGGTTTGCAGCCATGAATCTTGGTCAGAAGAAAAGGACACAGTGGGTGCCCCACAGGCTGGTCTGTGCATGTCCGTACAAAGAACAGCACAATTGAACCCAGCTGGACACAGGAAAACCTGTACGCTGAACCTAAGTGGACATGCATTACATTCACCAAGAGCCCGCTCGCCACCCCATGTCCTGCTCTGCCAACTCGGCGATTCCGATTTCGCCCCACCCCGGAGACCTCATGAGTGCTCTGGACTTGAAGGACTCGAACATCTGCGTGCGGCTGAAGAGAGCCATATTCCTCGCGGGGACGTACGCACGTTTCTTACGCGGGTGAGCTTCGCAGGCGGTGGTCAAGAGGGTCAAAGAATACATCAACCAAAGACGACAAAGAAGGGGACTCATTGGTGAATTGTTCCTTTGTCTGGTTCATGTACGTCCTAGTCCAGGAGGTTGGAGAATGAGTTCGCAATGGTTGCCACTCGCACATGAGTTGGTGGGAGAGTGCATGCGAGGAGAGTGCAGTCTATGTCGATGGCCAAGCTAAGAAGGATGATTTCATCACCCATTTATATCGCAGTCCGGTGCTGAGAGAAAAAAATAGAGTTCTTGCTTTAAAAAAACCCACATACTTTGGAAGAAATCAGCAGTCCCCAGGTCTGGTTGATCCTGCCTGTTGGATGAAGATTAGGATCCGAGCTGGTTGCTTAGACTTGCTTAGACATTTCAGGATCGGGAAGTCTCGCTGTTTTGCACACGGACGACCTCATCCACCGTCACCCTCCTTCAGAGCGCTTCACGCCGCGACAGGTCGACCGACAGGGGCAGGTTTGTGGGGTGGTGGGTAAGACAGAACGTGGTCGCCAATCGGGAAATCTTGACCTGCTGTCATGATTTTTGGGGGATCGTTTCTGAAGACAGCTTGTATGCTGTGGACTTAGTATAGCCTCCCCTGAGAACCGCTACAGCACTGCGTTGGCTTCAAAACACAGCATCCCCAGACACCATCGGCCAACACTCCTCTGTCGCATGGCAGAAACTAAGGCATTGGATTTGGACAGATCTCCTTAGTGCCAAAGAGATCACAAACCAGTCGTTCACAGTGAAATGCAAAGGCGGCATTGTGAACACCCAAAGGCAGGGAGCGGCACTCCCCGGCCAGCACAAAAGATTCGTATCTCAAAGACGCGTGGACACTCGGTGGGTTTCATTGCAATAATGCCGGTGGCATCTCAAAGTTTTTTACTGATCAGATTGATATCGTTTATCCAAGGGACATGGGATGCTTTGTGCCAAGTACCGCCTTGCTTCTGCCTTGCTGCATCAGGTTGTTCATCTGGTGGTTACCTGGTGGTTATCTGGCCCAAAACACCACCAAGAAATGGGTTACGTTGGGCCCTGCCTCACAATGCATGAGTCATTCCATCGAATTTGTTTGCTGGATAGGCAGGTTTTGCAAATTTCAGGAAGAAGCGTGTTTAACTTGTTTCAGGAACTGGTCATGCAGCAGTTGCTACTTACTGTAGCCTTACGTGTGTATATTGACTAGAAAGGTGTCATATGTGCATCAAAGTTGTTATATTTATGTATATATATATGTACAGTATAGAATATGTCTGATTGAAAGACTCGTCACACACTGCACAGAAAGTGGACCAAAATTTCAAGCAAAACAGGGCCTACAACTATATTCTACAGTGAACCTTTAAATGCTACCACTACGACTACTACGTCTTCTTCTATTTTCTTTAACAAGAACAACAACTACTACTACTACTACTACTACTACTACTGCTACTGCTACTGCTACTGCTACTGCTACTGCTACTGCTACTCCTACTACTACTACTACTACTACTACTACTACTACTACTACTACTACTTGAACCTAAGCAACGGGGAGTGAACGCTGAAGATTCTCTTGATGGAGTGGCGCCCACTTGTGAATGTGGCAAATATGTCCTCTTTGATAAAGGACGCATTTCATGATCTTCAAGGGGCATCAGCTGCATCACAGTCGTAGGCCGGCATCTGAGGGCGTTTATATACTTTTAGATAATGTTGATCGGTTTCCAGATCTTATGAACACAAAAGAACACCCAAACTACTGGGATGCTTGGAGGTCGGGCAAGTCGCTCCGCCGAAAGGCTGCTTTTCCTCGGCTGCTCCTGTAGCTTGGCGCCTAATATCCAACTCCAACTGAAACCAACTGAAACATGGTGGGTACTCAAACTGATTCCAGGGTATCTTGAACACATCCTCCGTGCTGACCACTCAGCCTCTCAAAACGCATCAACGAAAAAATGCACCCCGCCAGTCCACCCGGCATTGTGATTTGCCTCTCCGCTCGTCTTCGGCCCGTCCGAGGCTCCGAGATAAGCATCGGCACGTTGTTGCCCTTCATGGAGCATGGCCAGCAACCTGAGGCGGAACAGGCTCCTGTTTTTGAGTTGAGTAGTTTGTGGATCTTAGATGGTTAAAATAACATATCTTTTACCATAATGTCAAGAATATATCTAAAGAGGTATTAAAAGTTGTCATACAAGTGCAGCACATGGTGCACAGGTGGCTGGGATGCGCCTTCTGGGAATTGCTGGGAGGTCTTTTTGGAGGGACATTGGATTGGTTACCACTGCCTAAGAGCTCCAGTCAGGGAAATGGACCCAATATTGGGAGTAATTGAAACGTGGATTGATAGGGGCAGAAGTTAGTGGAAAAATGTTGAAAGCATTATATTGAGGTGATTTTGAACCATAACTGCTCTGTAAAAGACAAGGTTCCTTTTGAATCCTTTTGACGGATAATTGAAAGCTTTGGTCTGATCATGTGCATCATGTAGACAATTCCAGATTTGGGTGACTGCTTGGAATGGTTCCATGTGTGACATGGGCTTGGTCGCCGTCACCACATCACACCACCATCAAACTATTCGTTCAATTAGGAGGCTCCTCTTCGTCTTTAGACTGAGTCTACTCTCGGGCCACGGGCACCTCAGATTTGTGAACAACCCGGCCCAGTCTACTCATGGAAACCCAAGAGACTACCCATACAGAAAGATCTTGCCAACATCTTCCAGGTCTTTTACAACTTCAATCATGTTCAAGCTCCAAAACTGACCCGACCCCTTCAACTCCAGCAACTTCCGACTCCACCCATGTGCTTGTTCGGGGGGCTTCCATGGACGCTTCGACACCCTGCAGCAGCTCGGGACCCACGACCACCCCGGCGGAGCGGGTCCGCAGCTTCGACACCAGGCGCCCCCGGCTGTGCGATCTTCTCGATCATCGGCGGCACGGGATTGCGGGCCTAGCAGGGTCGGTTCGCCGGAGGCCGCAAATGGGTTGCGAGGTGGAGAGGTTGAGAGCAAGACATGACATCATAGAACCATAGAAAACCCATGATCTGAAGGCATGAACAGCTAGACTGTTAAACAGCCAGTGGATCTGAACCAGAATGTCAAAATCCGGCACCACAAGAACACATTTTTGACCCAGGATCGGATTCGTCATAGATCTTCCCATCTGTTAGCCCCCCACTGGACCGAACCACCGTCCTCCAGCATCCACGGACGTACCTTCAGTAGCTCCAACCCTTCAGCTCGGAGCCCGAAGCAATCCCAAACACGACTAATGGCACTGGCATTAAAAAAGATACCTTGAACCCAGCTAACCCCAATGTGGAGCGTCTGGGAATAGGGTCTGGTTGGAACCCGTCGTCTGGGTGGTTCTTCGGTCCCGACCCCCCCGGGGGACCCGGAGAAGGTCCGACTCGCTGCTATTCTCCGAGCCCTGCGCCTGTTGAGCCTCGTAGAGGAACTCGTTCACCTGGAACCGGGACTCGGTTGACCCCGGAACCCGCACCGAAGTGGGCCGGCGTTTCCTTAGGCGCTCGGAAAGGGCATTCTTTGGGTGGTGTTGCTTGG